AGCTTTCTTCTCTTGCCTTGTGTTGTCCTGTCTTGAATGCACATTTGAGTGTTGCACCATTGAAGTTGCTACACACTTTGACTCACACCACTGTTGTCTTTCTTCACTCCCCCTGAAACCAGCAGGTGCTTTGTATCAACCAGCGACATTGGCGACTCAAGTCAGCAGCTGCGACCATCTAGCACAAAAGCTCTCGGCTGCGGCTGCTTCCCATGCCTTGTGTATTGCAGTAGGTCTCATCCTGATACTTGTCTTCGTGTGTGACCTGAAGAATGAAAATGAAAATGAAAATGAACTCCCAACTCCTCTTTTGTTGCAGCCCAAGGTACTCCACACCCCACTCCCCCTCTCACTCGTGGGTTTGTTGTCATGTATACGTGTGAGTACGCACACAGCACCAAACACACGAGTGAGACATGTGAAGTTACGCAACGCCCTGCTGTCCAGCACCCCTTAAGAAGCCCGTACATGTGAGTGCTGCTCCAGCGTCTTCAATTTGCTGACTGGTTGTAGACGGTGCTCCAGGGGGAATCCGTTGGAGACCACACAAGAGGCTGCAGGTGAGATGTTGCTTTGCTGTGACAGGCTTGGTGAGGTAATCTGCAGCTTGCTGAGCTGTCGGGCAGTACTCCGGCCGCACAACATCATCACGAACGGCCTTCCGCGTCCAATGGTAACGCACTTCCATGTGCTTAATGCGCTGACTCATTTGCTCCCCGTTTGCAAGTGCAATTGCACTTTGATTGTCCACAAAGATGACAGTTGGTTCTTGCTGTGGGAAACCGAGGTCTTCACACAAGCGCCGAAGGTAGGTAGCTTCCCTTGCCCCTTCGAACAGTGCAATATATTCTGCTTCAGCTGTTGATGTTGCAATGACCGTTTGTCGCTTAGTCCTCCAATTGACAGCAGCTCCTCCCAAGGTAAATATGTAGCCTCCAACTGAGTGACATCCCACTTCGTTCGCATAGTCCGAGTCTGTGTATCCTCGAAGCACCAAGTCTCCTCCTCCATAGACCAGCCTCACGTCTGCAGTGTTCTGTAAGTATTTGAACACTCTTCAAATTCCAAGCATTGTTGCTGCTGTTGGCTTGCACGAGCTCCATGATGTCGCTATGCACGAGCTCCAAAGGTCGAGTCGTGCGCTTGTCACCACCTGTGGGAAATGGGGCCGTGCTCATCTTCCCTCGTAAACATGAGTCACATGGGGGTTTGAGAGGGTTTGTCTTATCAGATATGGAGAGTCCTTTAACATCTCCGATCCGAAATATGGCATCCATGGATGTGTATGACGGGTGACCCAAGCGCTTGTGGGCCATGCGATACGTGATGGATGTATGAGCAAAATGTGCATTCAGCCCTCCATTACCATGGTCATTTGATGCAACATCGTTATTGTCATGGTCGGATTCATGGGCAGATGCCAGTGCACGTTCATATTGCACCATGAGCACCCCATGCATGGTCATTCCAAGTCCAATCTTTACATGTCCATCCCCAACTGCCATGGTAATTACCGTGTGCCCGTCAACATGTGTATAAATCTGTGCTCCCTTCTTGTGCAACTGACAATAGGAGAGAAGGTTGGATTTCAAACCGGGGACATAGAGCACGTCGGTGTATGAGACCGTTGTTCCATCGGGCGCCGTTGCTCTAATCGTCCCCACCATCGAGCTCAGCAGCTGGCTGCCGTCAGCCAGCTCCACGCGTACAGGTGCGTCCAGCTTCTCTAGACCCTCAAACCAGCGTTTTTCTGAAGTCATGTGCTGACTGCATCCGCTGTCCAGCAACCACATCGATCCTTCGGCTGACGGTAGAGTTGCTTGCGACGACCGAATCGTTGCAATGCATGTAACGGTACGTTTGTTGTCTCCCCCGGCTCCTTGCTGTTTTGACGCTTGGTTGTCACGTTTGGGGCTTTCACTCCTTCGAGGCGAGGATGAACAGCTACTCCAGGTGTGCTGGTATGTCCCTCTGTTTTGTGGTTCCCACCCTGGTGGTGACCAGCCCGGAGGCGCCTTGGGACACTTGTAGAACGGGTGGCCAGATTCCTTGCAGTACCAACACACCAGGTTTGAGCGTCCTCTCTTTCCTTCATTGTCTTTGTATTTCTCCACAAGTGTCGCGTGCTGCCCTCCCGTTGACTTTGCCGCGTTCTGGTTCCCTTTTGTCTCAATCCTCTCCTTTGTTGGTGAATGATCTCCACATGCTTGGCCAGCCATGCGAGGGGGACGTTTGTCACGGTTGGTCTTGCTAATGAGGTCTTGGTAGCGTTGTTCCTGAAACATCATTCGTTGTAGTGTGTAGCTGTCCGATATGTCATGTAGCATTGCAGAGTGTCTCAGCTCCTCCCAATGTGGCGGCAGTCCAGTAATCAGATTCAAGGTAAATGAATCCTCATCCACCATCTTCCCTGCCAATGCCAGCTTGTCACGAATTGCCGTTGCTCGATTGAAATATTCCTCTACTCTCTCTTGACTCCCCATTTTCAGGTTGTCCAATTGCTTTTGTAGAGACGCCTTTGCCACCGAGTCCTTCGCCTGGTATGTCTCCATCAGGTATTCCCATGCCTCAAACGCTGAGCTGTAGGATTCTTGAAACACGTCTAGTTGAAGCTGAATCGTTGCGCTCACGCTATGTAGTAAAACCCAAAACGCCAGCGTTGCACGTTGGGAGTAGTCCGCTTGCAGATTTTCCGGCCGCTCCATTGCGTCTCTCATGTTTCCTTCGGCCATAGTAACCGGGTATTGAAGCGTCACGAAGAATTTCCATAGGTTTGTCACGCGCGCATTCATGCGAAACCGAAGCGCCCACTCGCGGAAGTTGGTGCCGTCGAATGGAGTAGTAGTGAATGCCTTGTCCACCGCTGCTCCCACCATCTTGCGTGACAGTCTGTCCTTGTCTTCCTCCGTGTACTCGCGTGGAGACGGGTCGAAGAGAGTAGGTATGGTAGATGGGCGTGGCAATTGAACCGAGCGTTGCTCCACCACCTCCACGCGATCACGTCGCATAACACCACTTGACTGCATCACGTGTCCCGTGCGTCCCATGCTTCCTGCAGGTGCAGCTCCCATTTGACCTCGCGACGCACGAGGAGGTACGATGTTTTCTCCCAAAAGGTGAGATCTGCCCATGACGGGAGCTCCAAGGGGGTGAGAGTTAGTGGCAAGACGTCGTAGTGGGGGAGCACCAATAGTATAGGACTCGAATCCCACACCTTCCACGCCCACTTGATCAACTCTGCCACTCCCTTCACCAATCTGCCTCCTCATGCTCCTTTCCATGCCAAATCCATCACCACGTTCCCTTGCACCCACTCCACTTCCGTACTCATTATCCCTCTCGCTTGCTTCCCTTTGCACGGTTGATGGAGGTGCGATGTGAGAACTCCCCTCTCCTTGGAACGATGCGTCCCTCCTTTGGGACGATTCTCCTCCTCGGAGTATGTCTCCCTCCTCTTCACCTCCAACTTCAGCTTGCACATTTGAAGCGTGGGTTTGCTCGGTACGTGGAGTGCTTGCATGTGACTGTCCACGGGTGGATGGGTCTTGTGCTTGACTTGGCATGTTGAACTTGACTATTAATGACGCTTGAAGTGTTGGTGGTGCCCTTGCGATCATGTTCTCCAGGTGCTCATGTTGAGCCATAATGGCCTCTTCAAACGCCGCGTATCCTGCGTCAACTTCCTCATCAAACCGAGCCATGCCGTTGATCCAGAACGTTGCTCGTGCATATGCTAATTTGCTGATATTATTGTCAAACGTTGTTGATAATAAGTTCCTGACCGAATTTCGGCAGCATGCCCCCTAGAGTTGCTCTGATACCATGCTAGAAAGGCATAGTGCCGTCGTAGCGGAAGCTTTGATTGTAGAATAAACAGCAAGAGAAACTTGTAACAGAAAGGATTCAGAACAATGGGATTGGATCGATAATGAAGGCTCACAATAAGGTATTTATACATGCAGCTACCCTGCCAAAGTCTAACCATCCCCACCAATAATTGTACCTCCAATAATGGTATGTCCAATAATTATACCCCAATAGCCCTGGACTCAAATAATGCAATCCCTACAATAATTGTACAATTATTGTAGGACTGAGCCTTACAAAGGAGACTACAGTAAAATCTAATAGCATATACATTTCCTTATGTTTCTATTTCCAACAATTGCGACATGAAAGCTGAACTGAGAGAGGCACATTTATTCACTGCATTGGCCTTTCCAGAAATTTGTACTGAATCATGGCTGTGATTTAAGTGTAGCATCTGGATGAACATCACCATAGCCTCTGCGTGTGCTCTCCTTTCAACCCTGCAAAAAAAAACTCGTGTGTTGTCAAACATTTGTAACAATACAAACCCTACTGGGTTGCAGAGGAACAGCTCAACACAACCACCTGGGTGCATTCACGTATGCACATGCTATCAGTCCCTTGGTCATGCCTGTCATGCTCTCCCCCAAAAGTCCTCATAATCTGCCTTCTGTCTGTCACTGCTGCTTCTCCCTTGCTTGCACCTCCTGCTTAGCCTGCTCCTGCTGCTGCACTCGCTCCTGTAAGTGGGGAGCAAACGTTTCGGCTACAAGCAGGGGGAAGGCGATGGTGGCATCGCAATACACCTGCAGATGGCCAAGGGGTAAATAGAGGATGGAGGAGATGGGTGAGAGGGGAGGGGAGAGGTATATGATTGGCGGGGGAGATAACGTTTCAAGGATCATTTTAGCAATGGTGGCATCACAATGCACCTGCAGGAGCGGGAAACGAGCATGATATCAAAGGCGTTGAATGCACAGAAGGGTGAATGAGATAAGGGGAACGGCAAAGGTGATTCTTGACTTGACTTACCACACAATGTGTGCTCTCTCATACCCCAGCAGTGTCATCACATACCCCTGCTGCTCCCAGTGCCTTTCTCTCTCCCCACATCATGTGGAGCTCGCTCACACTCTGGCACCTTCACAAGGCGACGTTAAGTCAACCAATATAAGCATGCTCCCTCTCACCTTGACTGCGCTCGCATCTCCTCGGATCTTCCCCCAGCTCACAGCCTCGTCCGGCCTGGCCCCCGAGTCGCTGCCATCGAACTCGCTCGCTGTGTTGATATAGACCGCGTAGTCCGCCCCGTTGCGCATCATGTTGGCGTTGCAGATGTGGTGCTTCGGCAGCCCCCCTCCCAGAATGATGAGTCCCGTGCGCCGGGGGGTGGCGTGCACTGCCTCGCCGTTCATTGCCCGGATGTCTGGGGGTAACCGGGGAAAGTTCAGGGACGAGGGTGAATAAGGAGGGGCAGGAAGGGTGTTGGAAGAGAGGGTCATGGGGTGTGTGAGGGGAGAGGGTGACGGGAGAGGGTGAGGGGAGGGGGTGAGGGGGGTGTGTGAGGGGAGAGGGTGAAGGGAGAGGGTGAGGGGAGGTGGTGAGGGGGGTGTGTGAGGGGAGAGGGGAATCCGCCCCGTTGCGCATCATGTTGGCGTTGCAGATGTGGTGCTTCGGCAGCCCCACTCCCAGAATGATCACTCCCGTGTGCCGGGGGGTGGCGTGCACTGCCTCGCCGTTCATCCGCCGGATGTCTGGGGGGAACCATGGGGCGTTCAGGGAAGAGGGTGAATAAGGAAGGGTGCGAGTAAGGAGGGTGACTTAAGGGATGGTGAGGGGTTGAGTGAGGAGATGTGTCAGGGAAGGAGGTCGCCAGCCCCCTTGCGCATCATGTGGGCGGTGCACCAAGTCAACCAAGTCAACCTAGTCAACCTAGTCAATGCAAGCCCTCACCTTGCACGAGGTCAATGAGGAGCCCCGGTGAGCGGAAGGAGTGGAAGTAGATCATGTCACCCAGGGACCCGTCCGTGATGGCTGGACACAACACCGGGATGCCGTTCTGACATTACAGGGGGGGTGGCGCACAAACGCAAAGATGCACAGGATATGCTTTTCTGTTATTTTCCTATTTTTTACTCAAGGGTTGAACTGCTGACAGTGTGATGGGGAAGAGGCGCACATTGAGGTGGGGAGGAGGCTGACCTTATGGGCCCAGTAGAGAACCGACTCCTCATGGTTGATTTCTTTCCCCAGGCGGTCGATGAGCTTGGAGGGCGTCCACACCACGCCCTGCTTGAGGCAGCACAAAAGGAAGACAGGAGGGAGGGCAGTGAAAGTGTGGTAAGAGCTGGACGTCAAACTTGTGAGTCGGTTGAAAAGATTCCACAGGCGGTCGATGAGCTTGGAGGGCGTCCACACCACACCCTGATTTAGGCTGGCACACATGGGAAGCGGGAAGACAGAGGGAGTGCGGTTAGACTCACACCGTCACACCGTCACACGTCACACCACTGATTCGACTTAAAGAATCCCCCAGGCGGTCGATGAGGGGGGTGTCCACACCACGCTCTGCTTGAGGCCGGCACATGAGGGAGGGAGAGGAGGAAAGGCGGTGAATGTGGATTGAACTCTTATGCATCAGGAGGAAGAAGTCAACAATCCCCCCCCCCCAGGAGGAACACTCTCTCTCCCCATTTCTCCCCTCACCTGCGTCTGCTGCTCCTCCAAGCATGCGTCCAGCACGGGCAGCACCCAGTCCTCGAACAGGCAGTAGTTGCTATTCGGCACCAGCAGGTTGCCAATGCGGTTCAGCCCCTTGGCCCGCAGGTCCTTCCTCTTGGGAGAGAATTTCCCCTCTCGCTCTCCCTCTCCCACTCACCTTGCTCTCGTCCTCCTCTCACCTGGTTTTTCTGCTCCTCGAGACACGCGTCCAGCACGGGCAGCACCCAGTCTTCGAAGAGGCAATAGTTGTTATTGGGTACCAGCAGGTTGCCTATGCGGTTGAGCCCCTTGGCCCGCAGATCCTTCCCCGCCAGGGAGAAATCGCCCAGGAGAGTGGGCGCCAGGCACTTTATCACGTCCTCTTCTATGCCCCCCGCTGTAGTCACGATCACATCCACCTGGATGGGTGCGTGGTTAGATGGGTGAGCGTATGGGAAAAAGCAGAAATGAGGGGTTTTACTATGAGAGAAGCGCATCAAGCAAGACCATGTAAAAGTACAACAAGAATAAGAGCATGACTGAGCGTACGGGCCGTTACACGAACGGGAGTGGGGGATGGAGGAGGGAAGAAAGAAGGATTGATTGAAGGAAAGAAATGCGGGAATTATAACGGTTGTGCTTACCAGTTTGTGCTTTGCCAGGAAGCAGAAGGTCTCTCGGAGCCCCGAGCTCATGAGGTTGGATGTGAAGCCCAGAAATATTTTGCAGCGCACGGACGACCGGAAGGCCGGGTCCCTCTCCTCCTCCGTCTCGTCCGGATTGGGTGGGTCGTCGCTCAGCCGCCAGGCAAGCTGGGAAGGGGAGGGAGGGGGCGTTTCAGGGTTCGGGCTTAAGGTTTCAGCTGTGGGTTGAAGGAAGGACGGAGAGGTAGCAGCCGGGTCCCCCTCCTCCTCCGTGTCGTCGGCCTTGGGCGGGGCGTCGCTCAGCCGCCACGCGAGCTGGGGAGGGGAGGGGGGTTTTGAGGGTTGAAGGTTTAGAGGTAGGGTGGAGAGGTAGCAAAGGCAGAAATCCTCGATTCCCCTAAGACTTCGGTATTGGGTGGATAATCTTCGCTCAGCCGCCACGAGATGGGAAACGGGGTTCAGGGTTCGGGGTTTAACATGGAAAAGTCAATGTGGGGGAAAGGGGATGGGGAATGGGGGTTGAGGAACTACGGAAGGACAGGAGCAAAACGACGGGCACGAACAAGCACAGGGACGGCCGTGGGGGAACATCAGACGCGAGGAACGAGATCCCACCATTCGGTTGACTTCATTAATCGCCTGTCCCAGACACGTGGCTTGGAACCCCGTCGTCACCATTCGCTTCATCAGCAGCGAGTAATCCACCGTCACCGATCCCGCCCCTCCTACTCCTACTGCTGCTGGTACGGCCCTACAAGCTTCCCCTCGCCCTGTTGGTTCTGCTGTAGCAGTCGTGACTGCATCGCTATCTCGGGTATCGCCATCCGCGCTACAGGGGGTTTCGATTCCGCTACCCTCTTGCGGCTGATCGCGGCGAGAAATTTCACGCGCGGGGATAACAGAAGCTTCGTGGAAGGTGTGTCCGCGGACACGTGGCGTGCTGTCGTCTACAGCCTCGGATCGCTTCAGAGCCGCGTCTAGCGCGCATTGCGGTGGCTGCTGTTGCTCCATGGAGGAGTAACGCGCTTATGGCGCCTAGGAGCCTTGTAAAAGATCGTGCTGACCTACTGGTTCTTCTGTGCCGATGGTCTAGCTGCGGGATTGACTTGTGAGTTTTTCAGAAAGGAGCGCCAGCGCAAGTGAGGCGTACATTTTGCCAAGCAGTGAGCATTGTGGACCAGTACAAGCAGACGCGTTTGTGGACGGTGTAGCACGTTCGCCACACATTTCAATTTCCCTGCAAGTAAAAATAAATAAGTGAATCCATCAAACATGGCATGTCCTAGGAAAACCAGCACAACCAACCCATTCTTGAACTTATTGAGTGAGAAGCTGCACTGAGAAAGTGCGGATTTCCCCTGGGGCTAATTCCACTGTAAGGGAAGATGGGTCCACAGGGCCGCCCTGGGGTGAATGCTCCTTAGAATGGCTTGAATCTCCATCGACATGCCATGTCATTGGACGGCGCATATCTGATCGTTTCTGATTAGCCATTAGGCTCAACTCTGTCACTCCTTGGATCTGCACCAATCAGAGCACACAGAAGCTAACGTGAACAAACGGGGGGACAAAAACAGGCGTGCACCAGCAGCTGGGGGCATCATTAAGACAGCACAAATGATTGTGTATGGGTAATGTACAATAGGATATGATGCATTACCTTTTGCAATGAAAGGAGTTGCCTTAAGTCGACGCGCTCGATTCTGGACAGTGTTGGATGCTCGTCAGCCTACGGGGATGGTGGTGATGGTGGAAAGAGGGGAGTTGCCTCGAAACACAAGTGAGGGCCCGAACAATATATGTTCTAGAGGTGCTCTAGAGCAACACAACGAAGTGATTGAGGCATCTTTACAGAGAAAGTGGGGAGTAGAAAGCTCTGAAAGTGATGCCAGGTACGGTGTATGGTGTCATGGGGAGCGGCACAAAGATCCGTGCGCACTCTCTTCTCAAGCTTGCCGTACCTCGTACAGATGCGCCAGTCGCAGCACAATGTTCCTTGGGGACATTTCCTGCATGAGAAAGAGTGCAGGGGAAGCAACAGGCAATGAGGCGCCGCCACATTGGACCAAGCCGTCGTGGTTGTGTTCAGCTAGGAATACATCAGTACAAAGACGGTACATTCTCGTCTCACAACACCGTGCTATGGAACAGGATCGAGACGGGATGGAAACGAGGGGCTGCCAGGAGGGTCCAGCTGTCTCGATAAAGCTAGATTTGCAAGCTAAGGGTTTCAATCTGAACTGCGAGGAGATATGGGGGCTCAATCTGACCTGGAAGGAGCTAGGGGGGGGGGTCAAGCTGACCTGGAAGGAGATGACAGCAACGTTGGGTGGCAGGGAGTAAGCAGAGTTGGGTGTGCGAGAATTGCTGGCACGTTCTCCATGCGAGATGGAGTAACGCCACCTGTGGGTTGCCTCCGCTGCTCTTATGGCCTCCTTTGTCTGTGGGGGAACAAGGGTTAGTGGGTGTGGTGGGTTGACAGGGTGAGTTGGATATTGGATGTTCCCAAAGAAGCAACTGATCTGACAGGGAGGCAGTGGGATGCCATGGGCTGATAAGGATGGACAGCTGTGACAGGGATATGGTTGCTTGCAGGGGTTCAAGAGGAGGGATGACAGGGTGAAGGAATCAAGAGGAGGAAACTGGCAAGATCTCGTAAATTGCTGCAACAGATGAAATAGGGTTGACTTGGCAGGAAAAAAAGGCACGAATGAACGTCAACAGCAAACTCGTTGCACAGACAAAAAGCATGCGCAGACGCTAAGGGAAAACATGGCAGACAAACAAGAACGCACCTCAACAGCAAACGCCAGCTGCAGAGGGGCAATAAGGCGCTGGGCATGCACCCTCCTCCACTCCGCCCCCTGCCCCTTCCCCCCACCCTCTCCCTCCTGCCTCTCCCCGCCACGCCTTTCCCGAGGCCGGCCCATCTCTGAGAAACCCTGATTCGCCTCCTCTTTGCCCCCTCCTCCGTCCGTCTCAGCCCCTCGCCTTCCATGGGGGGTTGCAGTGGCCGCGTCAGCATCAGCAGGGGCAACGGCAGAAGTGGTTGCTGTAGGTTGCTCCTCATCGTGCTCCTCATCTGCCACCCCTGTGCTGCCCCCTGGGTGCAAGCCAAAGCGGATGGAGCCTATGACCTGGAGAGGAAGGGTGGGGAAGAAAAGGGGATCAAGAAGGAAGGACGGAAATAGTAGCACTCGCACACTCGACTGGCAGCCTGGCAGGCACTGAATGCCGCTTGCTTGCATTGGCGGCCGCTTTCTCTGACCACATTTCTTGGATGTAGCTTGTTTTCCGAGGGCATTTTCCTGAGGTATGCCATGCATAGTACACCTATGCGCATACCATGAGGTGACTTTTGAATGGACTCAGAAGTCGCATGCTCTTTTGCGCCATGCCATGTATAGTCCAGACATGAGCATACCATGAGGCGTTCATTGTTGCCATTGAATGCGATTTGTTCGTTGAGAATCTCCCCCACTCCCTTCATGTCCACTGTCACCAGTGCCCTGCATTCACACGCACAGAGGTGTGAAAGTACAAACAATTGTGAATCTCATTGCCTCATTGAGAATCTCCCCCACTCCCTTCATGTCCACCGTCACCAGTGCCCTGCATTTGCACACGTAGAGGTTTGACATCACAGGTTTGGGTAAAATTCGTATGGAACATCATAGTGACTGAGTGTGCCCAGACATGTCAAGGTTCGTATTATACCCTTACAACAAGATTCTCCTTAGCATGTCAAGATTCTCATTCTAAGATTCTTCTTAGGCTCACTGGTGCAGCATGGCCCAAGCTGAAACAGCGCCTCTGGTACAGAGCACTCACCGGTGCAGCATGACTTCGAGCTTTCCGGCTGCCAGGCTGGCAGCACCGGCTGCTCGGTCCACCAGCAGTGACAGCTGTGACTCGCCATCCCCGATGAACGCGCCCACCGTCACCTGCGGGAGGGAGAGAGGAATGAGGGAGCAGGGAGGCTTCTTCAGGTTTCTCAAACATCGTCAATAAATGCCCCACCATCACCCTTACTTGGGGGAGGATAGGGAGCATGGATGGATGCAGGGAAGCTTTCTTAAGGCGCATCAGACACCCTTATGACACCCACCATCACCCTTGGTTCAACTCAACTGGCTGATTGGATTGAAGAACTGGTTGAACTGGACTGACAGTAAGGATTGGTTGGAGTGCACTGACAAAAAGGATTGGTTGGAGTGCACTGACCGGATAGAAATTGCCTGCGATGGGATCAGTGACTGTAAGCTCCCAATCAGCACGATGGTCCACAATCTGGGGGAGAGGGCATGGGATTGAGGGGGGTGATAGGGAAGGGAGGAAGGGGTGGGGAGGGAGACAGGGAGTATGGGAAACGAAGGGAGGGTTGGGAGAACAAGAATCTGGAAAGAGAAGTGTGCGAAGGTGGGAAGGCAGAGGGGAGGGGACAATGGATGGATGGAAATAAGAAACAGATAAGGTGGAAAGGGGAGCGAAAGAGCAATCAGGCAGCTCTCACCAAGCAGCAAACAGCATTCACTCGTTTCACTTGAAGTACTGTTGGTTGGTGATGATAGAATTGGAACTGAACTGATTGCTTGATAAGGAAGGCACTAGGCCTTAAGTACAAACAGGGTTGGGTTGAGCAAAGCTAGGGAAAGGATGGGATGGGAATCCTAGCAAATCTCCAATTGGTGAGTTGGCAGATTTGCAGGATTACGAGGGAATCCCAACCAGATAGGGTTGGGATTACAAATCTACACCCAACCTACAAAGTAACCTAACCGATATAGAATATAGTACGAAGTGTTGACTGACTATTTCTAACACACCCCCTAGGCTGACAACACTTCAGCCACATGGCGGCCCAACACCCATGGACGAGAGGAGGCGGTAGTGGTCTTGGCGAACAAGAGACTTGGTAAACAAGTCAGCAAGGTTGCAGTCGGAGGCAATGTGTTCAGCCTTCAGCTGCTCGCGCTACACCAGCTCACGAAGAAAGTAGTGACGGACCTCAATGTGCTTGGTGCGGCCGTGGAAGACGGGGTCCTTTGTGAGATGAATGGTGCTCTCTTTGTCACACCAAAGCGTTGGGGCTGGTTGAGGATACCCAAGTTCTGCCAGCAAGAAGGAGAGCCAACGGGCCTCTTGGGCAGCCATGGTCCCGGCATACAGCTCTGCCTCACAGGTCGACAGTGAGACGGAAGACGACCGAGTGGAGCGCCAACTGACAACCCCACTGCCAAGGGTAAAGCAATATCCTTGGGAAGAGCGCCAATCACTCTGGTCATCAGCATAGGACGAGTCACTGTACCCCTCAAGGCGAACAGGGGAAGAGCCGCCAAGAGGGAGCACATAGTCCTGTGTGCCTTTGAGATAGCGGAGGACCCGCTTGGCGGCAGACCAGTGGTGGCTCGTGAAGCGACCAGGTGCAACGTAGCGAGACAGGACACTGACTGGATAGGCCAAATCTGGTCGAGTGCACATCATCGCGTACATGAGGGAACCGACGAGCTCGGGGTAAGCCTCATCACAGGGCTCAGGTGAGGGAACAGAGGGTGCAGTGAGTTGGTGCTGCAGAGAGAGTGGGGTGGGCATTGAAGCTGCTTCCTGCATCTTAAACCTGGTCAGAACGTTGTTGATGTAGAACTTCTGCGAGAGGGTGATGGTGCGGGCCGTGCGATCACGTGTGATTTCCATGCCCAGATAGTTCGTCAGTTTCCCAAGATCCTTCATAGCCAGCTTCTCACCAAGTGCGGTTTTGACTGCTGCCAACTCAGTCTGATCCTTCGTGACAAGGATCATGTCATCGACATAAACCAAGATGAAGAAGCGGGATGGTGTTGCTCGGATGAAGAGGCTGGGGTCAGAGGTGGATGGGTGAAAGTCGAGGGACCCTAAGGTGCTCTTGAGCTTGTTGTGCCATTCCCGGGATGCTTGCTTGAGGCCATAGACTGGTCGATTCAGCTTCCATACAGTGCCTGGTGGAAAAGGAGCTGAAAATCCTTCGGGCCGCTCCATGTAGATTTCCTCTCGAAGGATCCCTTGCAGAAACGCAGAGGACACATCCATGCAGTCAACCTCCATGTCATCTCGAGCGGCAACATCGAGAAGGGTGCACAGTGTGGGAGGTTTGGCGGTGGGAGAGAATGTCTCAAAGAAGTCCAGTCCATGCTTTTGAGTAAATCCCTTGGCACAGTACCGGGCTTTGAAGACGGGAAATTCGCCTGGAAGTTGTTTCACCCGGAAAACCCATTTTCCCTTCACAATGTTGACGCCGGAGGGAGGAGAGACATCTGTGAAAGTTCCTGTGTGAATGAAGGCCTCACCCTCTGCGACAATGGCCCCTAGCCACTGAGCGGCGTGAGGACCAGAAACTGCTTCAGCATAGGTGAGAGGTGTGGGGATGGAGGGGTTGTCCGAGAAGTTGAGGGTGGGAGAATCTGCGATATCTGGAAAGAGGGAGCAGAGTGCGTGTATGGCTGAGTCAATCTCAATCAACTCCTCATGTCTGTCCTCAAGAAGGGAGGGCATGAGCGAATAATCACCCCCGACAGGAGGAGGATTGAGAGAGACACGAATGGAAAGGGAAAGAGGCTTGGGAGCTTTGCGCGAGCGGGTGCGACCAGCGATGGGGGAGGGAGGCGGAGCTGGAGGAGGAGAAGCAGCAGGTGTAGTGGCAGCATCAGGAATAGCAGCTGGATCAGGAGCAGGAGCTAGATCAGGAGGAGGAGCAGCAGCAGGAGGACGGCGTTGGTAGGTTTTGAGAGGAATGGGCTCGGGGGCGGGAAGGAGCGGGGGAGACTGCGCGGTGCTGGAAGGGGAAGCGGGTGACGGGGGGTCGGAAACTGTGGAGGGAGCGGGAAGAGGAGGAGATGGAGTGGTGGTAGGAGGAAGGCTGTCAAAGTCAGCCCAAGTAAGAGAAGGAGGCGGAGGAGAAGGAGAAACTGTGGAGGAGGGGTAGAACGGGTGGAATTCATCGAAGAAAACATCTCGGCTGCGATAAAGTTTGTTGGTGGTAGGATGGAGGAAGAGGTAGTCTGGCGAGTCCGAGTTGTGCCCGAGGTACACGCACGTGATTGTTTTCGGAGCAAGCTTGTCGCCAGCTGCACGACGGGCTTGGGAGTTGAGGAGAACATAGGAAGTGCACCCCCATACACGAAGAGGGCGGACGGACGGCTTTTGACCCGTCCACAGCTCTGCGGGGGTGGTGTGGGTGTGGTGAGGATGAGGATGGAGATTGTGGAGGGCGGCAGCATGGAGCATGGCGTATCCCCAAAGAGAGGGAGGGGCGGAAGCATGAGTGAGGAGGCAGCGAGCAATCTGCACCAGGATGCGGTTTCGGCTCTCAGCAACACCGTTCTGTTGAGGGCTGTCTGGGAGGGTGAAGGTCTGACGAAGACCCTCAGTAGAGCAGAAAGCTTTGAGAGTGTTGTTGCGGAATTCACCGCCACCGTCAGAGTGAAGAATCTTGATTTTGATTTTGAAGTGTGAATGAGCCTGCCTTGCCCATTCCATGATAATGGCTGGGGCTTCAGACTTGGCGGTGAGAAGGTGAACGGACACATAGTGGGAATAGTCATCAACGATGACAAGGAAGTAGAAGTGTCCGCCACGGGAACGAACAGGAGCTGGACCCCAAAGGTCCATGTGTACGCGATCAAGAGGTGCGGTAGAGGTGGACTCAGTGGGAGGATGGGGCTGTTCCCGAAGCTTGCTCTGTGCACAGTCAAGGCAAGGTGGTCCAGAAAGAGAGGGGGGTTGTGGAAGTGAGGCGGGCAGCCCATGAAGGAGTTGTTTGGTGGCAAGGTCTGAAAGTGCTCGGAAGTTGATGTGGCCGAGGCGGTTATGAAATAGCATAGTCTTGTCATTGAGGAGGCGGCAGTGACATGAGGGGGAGTCTGAGGATGGAAGCGGAAGGTTGGTGAGGGAGCATGTTTGAACGGGAGGTACAACTAGTGTATACAGGTTGTTGGAGTTGAGGGTGAAGCGGGCAAGATGGAGTCCGGTTTTGGCGTCAAACATGTCACAGTAGTCAACATCATTGGGAAAGATGGTGATCACGTCTGCGTGTTGGATTTCCCGCTGTGCAAGAAGGTTGTAGCGGAGGGTAGGGGCACAGATGCGAGTGACTATGCCGGATGGGAAAGCTGGACAGGAAACTGTGGAGGACCCATGGCATTGAATGGAGAAGCTAGAATCGGCTCCAAGGAGTGAGGTGGAAGCCTGGTAGGGAACGAAGGCAGTTTGGTCTAAGCACTGTGTGGGTGGCACCACTGTCTAGTATGAACTCAATTCCCTGTGTGGTTGAAACACCGATGTACTGCGACCGCTTCTCATTAAGAAGACCAGCACCAGAGAACAACAGGTTAAGGCGAACATCAGATGGGGCACTAGCAAATGCCTGAGCAGGTTCCTCCACTGCCTCGACCTGGTTCACGCGACGGGGTGGTGCCCAGATGGGAGGGCGCTTGTCCTTGGAGACACCGTGGACGTCATACCACTCGTCATCTCGCTTCTTGAAGCAAGTTGCCTCAGGGTGGTTGGTGCCGTTGCATTTCTGCCCCGCACGTGGACCCTTCCTAATGAGGTACTGGCATGGGGGAAAGGAGTTGCGCCTCTGGCCCTGCTGGGAACGAAATGGGATGCCAGGGGAGTAGCGCACAGCATTGACGGATGCCTGGGCTGCAAGGTCCTTTTCGGCAGAGAGAAGGGCCGAAGCGACTTTCTCGAAGGTGAGTTCCTTGGTGGGGAGCTGCTTGAGCATGGAACTGGTGACGTTGTAGGCCGGGGTGAGTCCGACGAGAAGCCCAGCAGCAGGTGCCTGTTCGGTGAAGGTGATCCCAATGTCCTTGAGCTCCTCATGGATGTTGCGGATTCCAGAGATGTAGTCTGCCATGCCCGGGCATTCCTCAAGGCGGATTTGGAACATGCGAGGAATGAGGATTGCAACTCCCACGGCAGTTTTGTCATGAAAGCGATCCTGGAGGTACTTCCAAATGTCATGCGCAGAGCGGAAGGTGCGGTAGGACTTGACTAACTCGACTGGGGTGGTGGTGATGAAAACCCTAATCACTGCCGCATCCGCCTGCTCCCAGAGACTGAAGTCCGTCTCATACTTGGTGGTTTTAGCGTCGAAAGCAAGCTTGGCTGTGGCAGTGGCGCCTTCGCCGAGAGGATCGGGAGGGAGAGGCATCTTCCCCTTGCCGCGATTGAGGAGGATGTCTTTGAGGCAAATCCCCTTGAGCTCCGAGCTAAGGAGGTGCTTCTCCACTCCATAGCACCACTCCCCGAAATTGGTGCTCGTGCCGTTGGGAGCGAGGTTAAGGATGATGAGGTTTCCGACGAGAGTGGAAGTTGAAGTTGCCATTTCGCGCGGAGCGCAGCGCTAAAGTCTCCGATACTTAGCGGAGCGGAGTTCGGGTGATTTTGGAAATTGAGGAAGTTCGAAACGCGATTATGGCAATAGAATGCCCGTACTATACCCTGATATACTGCTTCGCCAATGCCCCCTGTTCTGCTTCGCTGCTGCCCCTGTTCCGCTTCTCTGCTGCGCCGCTGACCTGTTCTGCTGCGCCGCTGACCTGTTCTGCTGCGCCGCTGAACCTGTTCCGCTGCGCCGCTGAACCTGTTCCACTGCACCGCTGAACCTGTTCCGCTGCGCCGCTGAAAACCTGTTCCGCTGCGCCGCTGAAAACCTGTTCGAAGTTAAGAAGATGCGAAAATTGCCACGGAGATATAAAAACCAGAAGCTTACGATGAAGGAAGTCGAAAGCTGAGAATGTCGCCGTTGAAAAACGAGATGCGCGATGAAGGAAGCCGAATGCGCGCTTGACCGGAGCGACGATGTGAAGTTTCTGAAAAACGCTAAGCGTAGGAGCCGGGAACCGAAATAGGCATAGCCTAAAAGGAGAGAAACATCGGGACGCCAAGGATCGGATTCCGCGTGAGCGGAATTTACTAGCTCTGATACCATGATGAATTGGAACTGAACTGATTGCTTGATAAGGAAGGCACTAGGCCTTAAGTACAAACAGGGTTGGGTTGAGCAAAGCTAGGGAAAGGATGGGATGGGAATCTTAGCAAATCTCCAATTGGTGAGTTGGCAGATTTGCAGGATTACGAGGGAATCCCAACCAGATAGGGTTGGGATTACAAATCTACACCCAACCTACAAAATAACCTAATCGATATAGAATATAGTACGAAGTGTTGACTGACTATTTCTAACAGGTGATAGTGGCTGCACTGAGAATGCAAGTATTCGTTTTAAGCTGCTTGCCCCTGCTTATAAGCTCACCCGTTTGAGGTACCGCCTGCCATTAGAGTCAGTGAAAAAGGTCTTGTTGCTGCTGATGGGGGCTGAAAAGCGAGTCACAACCTCGTGACCCTTGCTGTCTTCGGGGGTTGGTCCGATCTGTGGGGTGTGGTTGGGGAGGGAGGGAATGGAAATGTGTTCTGAGTCCAATCAAAACACACAAAGCAGGTCACCACTTCGTGACCCTTGCTATCGTAAGGGGTAGGCCGGATCTGTGGAGTGTGGTTGGGGAGCGAGAGAGTGTGGAGACACAATAGGGTATGAGCAGCAGCACGCAAGAAGGGAGTGCTGTGAGGTGCAGGGAGATGTTTTAAAAGGAATGCTTGAGCAACTTTTCAAAACGCCTCAAAGGTTTTCGTTACAGGAGTGTTTTCAGCACTCCATCATGCGTAAGCACTGAGAGCACAGACACTTGCACAGGCATGCAAAGCACGACCACTAGGAATCTTCATCGAGCGAGCAAGGTGGTTTGACAACGAGCGTGGATACCTTTCAGGTCAAAGAGCATGATTAGGTCTGGGAGGGAAGAGAAGGACACTTACCACATAGTGCAGTTCGGCATAGTCACAACCTGGGTACACCCGGAAGGTCTGCAAAGAAATGCATGCAGCAGTCGAGGGGTGGGGGGAAGGGGGAGGGCGGAAAGGGGGAGGCAGGGGAGAGAGGGAGCAGAAAAGTGAATGCAGAGAGAGCACTGGAGAAATAGGAAACGGAAGGAGCTGCAGAGGGTTTTTGTTTTGGCTGGAAGCGTACCTCTGAAATCCATGGGGCAACTTGTCGAGAGAACTCTTCCACAATTGGTCCACGTTGAACACGGATGGACACCTGGACACGTCAGCATGGCCAAGGGAATGCATGAGGTTCCATAAGGATTGTGTTTGTGTGAGTGCACAAACAGGAGTGTGAGTGACAAATACTTGCTTTCCTTCCATTCCATCCCATGGAGAGTCCATGAGATACCAGAAGGACAAAACACTGTGCATTTGAGTCGAGTGCAATTACTTGTAGCCTCATCCATGATTCTACAAACGCCCCACGATGTTTTGACAATTATCGAACTGACAAACCCTGATCGTGCTGACGTGGACGCTTACTTCGTCAGGACCTGGCTGTCAGGCTTGAGCTAGCGCGTACACAGAGGCGTTCACAGTAGCGCAGACAGATCCTGATTGCACTCACCTGGTCGTCTCTCTGAGTCGGGTAGGCTGCTTCAGCAGTGGGGTCAAAGATGTAGGCTCCACCCTGGAGGCGGAGGGGGGGGAGGGTAGGGGGGAGGCGAGAGGGCAGGAGGGGGGATATGCAAGGAGAGGGGAGGGGCGCATGGGTGGGTGTTTAGAGGAGGGTTGAGAGGGTTTCCAGGAGAGGTAAAAAGGGCTTGGGAGGGAGGGGAGGGAGCAGGAAGTATGAGAGGGAGGTTCAAGGAAGTGAGGTGGGAAACGGGTGGGAGGGGAGATGGCAAGTGGTGGAGAAAGGGGACAGGCACAAGTCAAGGGGATTCAGCAGATACCTTGCTTGTGTTGTCACAAAATCCACTACGCACCTTGTGCGTGACATACTCCACCGCTCTGTACCTTGTGTGTAACATTCTCCACCACAGTGTACCTTGTGCGTGACATTCTCCACCACTGTGTACCTTTTGCGTGACATACTCCAGTACGTCCGACCTGACAGGCTTCGCCACATCCTGCCAGGGAAGCAAGGAAGCAACAGAGAGGTTGCATGGGCAAGGGTACGTCAGAGCGAAGGCAAGAAGGGGGGGGAACGGGGAGTGAGAGGGTTATTGCAGGAGTGGGGATGCGGGTTCGCCATATGTTTGCCATCGGTCTGTTGAATGAGATTTGAGTTGACTCTAAAGTCACTACCAACCACCCCAAGCCAAGCAGAACACCCGCACTCACCACATTCACTTGTTCGCCATCAGTCTGTTGGGGAAACTCCATCTGCGTCATGCCATACGCTGCCTTGGAGAACGTCACTTGCAGTGCAGTATCTCCATCCTTGCCTGCACCAGTAGGCTCGGCACCAGCACCAGTACTATCCCATCCCATCCCAAGCAGTTAACCTGCACTCACCACAGTCACTTGTTCACCATCTGTCTGTCGGACAAGCTCCATCTGCGTCATGCCATATCCTGTCTTGGAGAACGTCACTCGCAGTGCACTGTCTCCCTCCTTGCCTACGCCAGTAGCCTTGCCAGCAGCATCACCAGCACCAGCACCAGAAGAAGAGTCGGCTTTAAATCCTCCTAGAACGAAGTTTTCAGCTGGAGAATTTGCTGTGTTCGCACTGTTGGGGGTTCCGGCTGGGTTTCTGAGGGCAGGGACTTTTGCAGACTCTGTAGTGCTGATGACGGCTGCTCCTTGTGTGCCTGTGTCGGGGGCATATGATGGGGGAAAGAACAGGGATGACATGACTGTGTGTGAGGAAGGGAAAGAGCGCGCAGGGGAGGGGTTTAAGGAAAAACAAGGTGGATTATGTCACTGTCACTCTCACTCTCACTCACTCCCACTCTCACTCTCACTCTCACTGGCACTGGCACTGGCACTGGCACTGGCACTGGCACTGGTTCATACCTGGTGGCACAGCAGTGAGGAAGAAGGTGGCGTATCCAAGAGGAGGCACCTCAGCACGGAACACCACTGACACAGCCCGCCCCTCCTGCTGCACCTGACCCCCATCCGTTTGCCCCTCCTGCTGCCCTGGCTGCTGGGGCTGCTGCTGAGACTGCTGGGGCTCCTGGGGCAACTGGCCGGTGTATGCAGCAACATAGAAGGCACGTGTGTTGGGGTCTACGAGGGTTTCGGTGATGATTTGAGCGGGGATGGGGGAGTTGGACGAGTCTGCCACGAGGACTGATGGCGAGGACACCTGCAAGGTAGGAGAGGAGGGTAGAAGTGCAGTTAGGTTGGGAGGAAGGGGGAATTGCGGTGGTTGGTGAGGAAGGGGGAGGGTGTAGAGCCGAGGGGGGCAATGGATTATGGAGGGATGAGGTGGGAAGGCGCGCAGAAATGAAAGGAGACGAAGAGACATGGAAAAATGCCTGCGCAAATTGGAAGCAGGATGTGATAGGAGGCAGAAGAGGGCGTACTGGAAACCGAACGATCTCGGTGCGAGGCCACCCTAGTGGGTTGACCACAGTCACCACCTGGTTGGGGAATGGGTGCAAGAAATTCAGTAGAATTAGGACTCCAGAGTCAAGTTCTGATGGAAGTTTAGCATGGGGCATGGCTCGATCAACAGCAGGAAGTGTACATGGGGAGGAGAAGGAATCTAAACGATGAAGGAGAGATTCAGGGGTTGAAACACAGGAGGACATGAGGAGGAGAAGGGAAGGTGAAGCGTACCAGCACGTGGTCTTGGCCGAGGTTGGTTTCAGATGGGGGGCAGAAGGAGAGGTTGAGCAGCGGACACTGCAGTACGACGAGGAGAATGGAATGGGAGAGGAATGCAGGGGATGGGAGGGATGGCGTGGAAAGGCGAGGAAAATTGTGGATGTTGGAAAAAGGGGCTTGAAAAAGTGGAAGGGGACCTTAATAAGGGATCAATGATTTCTCAGAGCGAAGAGTAAGTGACGTCTCTACTTGCCCACAGCAGTGAGAAGCCTGGCAGCTGGATGGTTCCGTAGAAACTGTAAAACGACAAAAGCATCACATACCATTTGGAAGTCCAGCACAGGCATATCGTGCGTCGCCCCTCCCTCGCTTGCACTCCTTCGATCACCACCCTCTGTGCTTGCTTGCTCGCTGTCCTCTTTCCCTTGACGCTCATCGCTCGCACTTCCTCCTTCCCTCAGAAGCCGCCTTCCCCTGTTGCTGCTGCCTGCGCCACTCCCTTCCCTCCCCGTTTCCCCACCCACCACTCTGCTACTCTCTCCCGCAGTGCTGCTATCCCTTCCACTCAGCAACATCTCCTGCCCCCGTCTCCCAGGCGAAACATCCTCTTGTGGAGCATGAACGTCACCGGGTCCTGATGGCTGTTCCTGTTGATTCACATCTGTCCATTGCACTGTCTGCTGCACCTGGAGTGTCTCCTCAACAGGGGGAACTTGGCGATGGTAAGGGAAGAACGATGGAGTATCCACTGAGTGATGCGGCTCTCACTCATTCGAGCCTGCATCACCCTGGATCAATTCCGGGTGCAGTTGAGAGAACAGCGGGTCAGGCTCGCTACCGTTCGGCATAGGCGGATCAAATGGACTGGCAGTTTCGAGGGTTGGCTTTTCAGGAAATGACTGGGGCTGATTCGGGTCTACAGGATCCCATGGCTGGGTTTGTAACTGAGCAGCAGGATCAAGAGTTGGGTCATTGAAAGGAGGGAAGTCTGAGGGCCCCATTGTTGGGTCCGCAGTGGGTGTGAAGAAGGCTCGTGATGGGTCTTGGGGAGTTGAGCTGGACGTTGGGGAAGAGGAGCGCGGTGGGAGAGTGGTGGGGGCTGCTTGGGTGATGAGGTGAACAAGGGCAGCTGCCACTACAGTGGAGGCCTGGGGTGATTGTAAGGAGGGGAGAAACGGGACGGAAAGAGGGGAAAGGTGTGGTATAAAGGTGGCCTGCTCAAAAAGGAGTGAACGCCAAAGCATAGACAGTGAGTGAAATGGTATCCGGCATAAGTGGACAGCCTAGACTCTCGACACCCTTCCCCACAACTGCAACCACCTCTCACCTCCCTCCCCTCGCCCACCCTTGAGATGATTCTTGCAGTCTGACCATGAGGGCAACATTCACTTGCTGCTCTACCCCACCCAACCCCCCCATACCACTCTTCCCACCGCTTCCATCCCCACCCTCCCCCTCTTTCCTCACCTCCTGTGCTGCTCGGTGCAGGCGGAGCGTGTAGTCATCATTCACGTGCTGCTGGGCCGTGCCTGTTATGGCATCGTGGTGCTGTGCCACTGCCACTGCCTCTTCCAAAGGGAACGTTGACGCCACCCTCCTCCTCCTCGCACCCGCACCCACCCTCTCCCACTCCTCCCACTCACCACTGTCCACATTCCCCCCCTCTCCCCTTTCTCCACTCCCTCCTCCCCCACCCTCTCCCCCCACTCCACCGCTATCGCCCCCTTCCGCCCCGCTGGTGGCTTTCAGGTTCTTTCCCAGGTGATTGTCAAACAGAAACTCGTCTGTAGCGATCATCCTGCTGGTTTTCAGCCCCCAGTCCCTCAGAGCGGTCTTGCCCACAGCAGCCTCGAGAATTGTGGTCGCCTGGGCGCATTAGGAACAGGGGAGGTACAGAATAGTCGCTGGGAGAGGAAGGGACACAGGGACCCCCCCAAGTGAATTGGAAGTAGAGAAAACTGAAGAAAGGGGGGTGATAGGGGTGCAGAGGAAGCGGCCATTTGTGTAAGTACAGGAGCGTATGAGAGGCAACAGACAGGAGGGGGGGTGTAGACAAGGAAGGGGGCTGATGGGGGTTGACTGAGGCAAGAACGGGCACGGAAAACTGGGCCATACATCGGGTCGGGACGTGTCAAGTCAAGTCAATTCAAGGAAAAGTGACGCACCAGCAGCAGTGAGCTGCACACGCGAGCATAACGCTTGAAGTTTGCCCGGCTGGCGAAATACCCCGTCCAGACGAAGTTTGGGGCGTCGGCATAGCTGAATGTATTGTCAGGGAGGGAGGAGGAGATAGAGCGAACAGCAGGGTCTTGAATAAGGAGAAGCATGGAAAAAAAGAAGTGCTGGCAGGGCATGGCAGGGGAGGGAGGAGGGAGAAACAAGGGTGGGAGCAATAAATCAGAAGAGACACAGGAAAGGTCAGAATGCATGTATATGGATATCGTAATTACTGATATTTTTCAAAGATCACGTAGTCTGTACGCACGGGAACATGTCACCAGTCTTGAGAGGCCACGTCTTGTTCTCCTTTTGAACGGCGTCCACATAGAAGGACGGCGTGGAGTAGAGGGCGTTGACCCGGCCATCCTGACAGGGGTGGGGGCGCGAATGATACACGCTGCTTTTTTGCGAGAGTTTCATGATTGTGAGAGCGTGCATGGCAGTGCATGGTGTGGAGTAGAGGGCGTTGACGCGGCCATCCTGGAGCACAATCGTCATGCACAGTGTAGATCAGCCAGGAAAAGAGCAGCTGACGAAACCGTGAACAATTTATTCATGGATGTTAAGGGGATTCGATTTACCCATGCCACAATGCCAGAACATGCCAAAGGTGGTGGTGGGGGGTGGGGGAGGGGGGGAGGGGAGGTGGGGTGGACGGGTGGAGAGGCGCCTCTTAGAGGAGAAGCGCCTGCCTCGTAGTGGAGAGGCGCCTGTCTCTTTGAGGCGAGGCGCCTCTAAGAGGAGAGGCGCCAGCCGACCAAGGCGCGCGCGTGGACCGTGGACCAAGGCGGGCGCGTGGACCATGGCGCGCGCGTGGACCAAGGCGCGCGCGTGGACCAAGGCGCGCGCGTGGACCAGGGCGCGCGCGTGGACCATGGCGCGCGCGTGGACCGTGGACCAAGGCGCGTGCGTGGTCTGTGGACCAAGGCGAGCGCGTGGACCGTGGACCAAGGCGCGCGCGTGGACCAGGGCGCGCGCTTGGACCATGGCGCGCGCGTGGACCATGGACCAAGGCGCGCGCGTGGACTGTGGACCAAGGCGCGCGCGTGGACCAGGGCGCGCGCGTGGACCAGGGCGCGCGCGTGGACCATGGCGCGCGCGTGGACCATGGGGCGCGCGTGGACCATGGGGCGCGCGTGGACCATGGCGCGCGCGTGGAACCAGGCGCGCGCGTGGACCAAGGCACGCGCGTGGACCAAGGCGCGCGCCTGGACCAAGGCGCATGCCTGGACCAAGTCTCTTAGAGGAGAGGCGCCTCTTAAAGGAGGGGCGCCTCCCTCTTAGAGGAGAGGCGCCTGCCTCTTACAGGAGAGGCGCCTTTCAAAAGAGAGGTGCCAGTCTCTTAGAGGAGAGGCGCCTTCCTGTTATAGGAGAGGAGCGTGTCTCTTAGAGGAGAGGCACCTGCCTCTTAGAGGAGAGGCGCCTGCCTCTCACTCAGAGGAGAGGCGCCTTCCTCTCACTCAGAGGAGAGGCGCCTGCCTCTCACTCAGAGGAGAGGCGCCTGCCTCTCACTCAGAGGAGAGGCGCCTGCCTCTCACTCAGAGGAGAGGCGCCTGCCTCTCACTCAGAGGAGAGGCGCCTGCCTCTCACTCAGAGGAGAGGCGCCTTCCTCTCACTCAGAGGAGAGGCGCCCGCCTCTCACTCAGAGGAGAGGCGCCTTCCTCTCACTCAGAGGAGAGGCGCCTTCCTCTCACTCAGAGGAGAGGCGCCTGCCCCTCTCACTCAGAGGAGAGGCGCCTTCCTCTCACTCAGAGGAGAGGCGCCTTCCTCTCACTCAGAGGAGAGGTGCCTGCCTCTCACTCAGAGGAGAGGCGCCTTCCTCTCACTCAGAGGAGAGGCGCCTGCCTCTCACTCAGAGAAGAGGCGCCTTCCTCTCACTCAGAGGAGAGGCGCCTGCCCCTCTCACTCAGAGGAGAGGCGCCTTCCTCTCACTCAGAGGAGAGGCGCCTTCCTCTCACTCAGAGGAGAGGCGCCTGCCTCTCACTCAGAGGAGAGGCGCCTTCCTCTCACTCAGAGGAGAGGCGCCTGCCTCTCACTCAGAGGAGAGGCGCCTGCCTCTCACTCAGAGGAGAGGCGCCTTCCTCTCACTCAGAGGAGAGGTGCCTGCCTCTCACTCAGAGGAGAGGCGCCTTCCTCTCACTCAGAGGAGAGGCGCCTGCCTCTCACTCAGAGGAGAGGCGCCTGCCTCTCACTCAGAGGAGAGCCGCCTGCCTCTCACTCAGAGGAGAGGCGCCTTCCTCTCACTCAGAGGAGAGGCGCCTGCCTCTCACTCAGAGGAGAGGCGCCTTCCTCTCACTCAGAGGAGAGGCGCCCGCCTCTCACTCAGAGGAGAGGCGCCTTGCTCTCACTCAGAGGAGAGGCGCCTTCCTCTCACTCAGAGGAGAGGCGCCTGCCCCTCTCACTCAGAGGAGAGGCGCCCGCCTCTCACTCAGAGGAGAGGCGGCTTCCTCTCACTCAGAGGAGAGGCGCCTGCCCCTCTCACTCAGAGGAGAGGCGCCTTCCTCTCACTCAGAGGAGAGGCGCCTTCCTCTCACTCAGAGGAGAGGCGCCTGCCTCTCACTCAGAGGAGAGGCGCCTTCCTCTCACTCAGAGGAGAGGCGCCTGCCTCTCACTCAGAGGAGAGGCGCCTGCCTCTCACTCAGAGGAGAGGCGCCTTCCTCTCACTCAGAGGAGAGGTGCCTGCCTCTCACTCAGAGGAGAGGCGCCTTCCTCTCACTCAGAGGAGAGGCGCCTGCCTCTCACTCAGAGGAGAGGCGCCTGCCTCTCACTCAGAGGAGAGCCGCCTGCCTCTCACTCAGAGGAGAGGCGCCTTCCTCTCACTCAGAGGAGAGGCGCCTGCCTCTCACTCAGAGGAGAGGCGCCTTCCTCTCACTCAGAGGAGAGGCGCCCGCCTCTCACTCAGAGGAGAGGCGCCTTGCTCTCACTCAGAGGAGAGGCGCCTTCCTCTCACTCAGAGGAGAGGCGCCTGCCCCTCTCACTCAGAGGAGAGGCGCCCGCCTCTCACTCAGAGGAGAGGCGGCTTCCTCTCACTCAGAGGAGAGGCGCCTTCCTCTCACTCAGAGGAGAGGCGCCTGCCCCTCTCACTCAGAGGAGAGGCGCCTTCCTCTCACTCAGAGGAGAGGCGCCTTCCTCTCACTCAGAGGAGAGGCGCCTGCCTCTCACTCAGAGGAGAGGCGCCTTCCTCTCACTCAGAGGACCTGCCTCTCACTCAGAGGAGAGGCGCCTGCCTCTCACTCAGAGGAGAGGCGCCTTCCTCTCACTCAGAGGAGAGGTGCCTGCCTCTCACTCAGAGGAGAGGCGCCTTCCTCTCACTCAGAGGAGAGGCGCCTGCCTCTCACTCAGAGGCGAGGCGCCTGCCTCTCACTCAGAGGAGAGCCGCCTGCCTCTCACTCAGAGGAGAGGCGCCTTCCTCTCACTCAGAGGAGAGGCGCCTGCCTCTCACTCAGAGGAGAGGCGCCTTCCTCTCACTCAGAGGAGAGGCGCCCGCCTCTCACTCAGAGGAGAGGCGCCTTGCTCTCACTCAGAGGAGAGGCGCCTTCCTCTCACTCAGAGGAGAGGCGCCTGCCCCTCTCACTCAGAGGAGAGGCGCCTGCCTCTCACTCAGAGGAGAGGCGCCTTCCTCTCACTCAGAGGAGAGGCGCCTGCCTCTCACTCAGAGGAGAGGCGCCTTCCTCTCACTCAGAGGAGAGGCGCCTTCCTCTCACTCAGAGGAGAGGCGCCTTCCACTCACTCAGAGGAGAGGCGCCTTCCTCTCAGGGGAGAGGCGCCTGCCTCTCACTCAGAGGAGAGGCGCCTTCCTCTCACTCAGAGGAGAGGCGCCTGCCTCTCACTCAGAGCAGAGGCGCCTGCCTCTCACTCAGAGGAGAGGCGCCTTCCTCTCACTCAGAGGAGAGGCGCCTGCCTCTCACTCAGAGGAGAGGCGCCTGCCTCTCACTCAGAGGAGAGGCGCCTGCCTCTCACTCAGAGGAGAGGCGCCTTCCTCTCACTCAGAGGAGAGGCCACTCAGAGGAGAGGCGCCTGCCTCTCACTCAGAGGAGAGGCGCCTGCCTCTTAGAGGAGAGTCGCCTCTAAGAGGGGTGGAGGGGTGGATGGGTGTGTGGATGGGTGGAGGGGTGGAGGCATGGAGGGGTGGATGGGTGGAAGGGTGGATGGGTGGAGTTGTGGAGGGGTGGAGGGGTGGATGAGTGGAGTTCTGGAGGGGTGTCGGGGTGGAGGTGTGGATGGGTGGAGGGGTGGTGGGGTGGAGGGGTGGATGGGTGGATGGGTGGACGGGTGGAGGGGTGGATGAGTGGATGGGTGGAGGTGTGGAGGGGTGGAGGTGTGGAGGGGTGGATGGGTGGAGAGGTGGAACGGTGGATGGGTGGAGGGGTGGATGGGTGGAGGGGTAGAGGGGTGGATGGGTGGAGGGGGAGAGGGGTGGATGGGTGGAAGGGTTGATGGGTGGAGGTGAGGAGGGGTGGAGGTGTGGATGGGTGGAGGGGTAGTGGGGTGGAGGGGTGGATGGGTGGAGGGATGGATGGGTGGAGGGGTGGAGGCATGGAGTAGTGGATGGGTGGAAGGGTGGATGGGTGGGGTTCTGGAGGGGTGTAGGGGTGGAGGGGTGGATGGGTGGATGGGTGGAGGGATGGAGGGTTGGAGGGATGGAGGGGTGGAAGGGTGGATGGGTGGAAGGGTGGATGGGTGGAGGTGTGGATGGGTGGAGGGGTGGTGGGGTGGAGGGGTGGATGGGTGGATGGGTGGACGGGTGGAGGGGTGGATGAGTGGATGGGTGGAGGTGTGGAGGTGTGGAGGGGTGGAGGTGTGGAAGGGTGGAAGGGTGGAGGGGTGGATGGGTGGAGAGGTGGAGGGGTGGATGGGTGGATGGGTGGAGGGGTGGATGGGTGGAGGGGTAGAGGGGTGGATGGGTGGAAGGGTTGATGGGTGGAGGTGAGGAGGGGTGGAGGTGTGGTTGGGTGGAGGGGTGGTGGGGTGGAGGGGTGGATGGGTGGATGGGTGGATGGGTGGATGGGTGGATGGGTGGAGGGGTGGATGGGTGGAGGGGTGGAGGGTGGATGGGTGGATGGGTGGATGGGTGGAGGTGTGGATGGGTGGAGGGGTGGATGGGTGGATGGGTGGAGGGGTGGATGGGTGGAGGGGTGGATGGGTGGAGGTGTGGATGGGTGGAGGGGTGGATGGGTGGAAGGGTGGATGGGTGGAGGTGTGGATGGGTGGAGGGGTGGATGGGTGGAGGTGTGGATGGGTGGAGGGGTGGATGGGTGGAGGTGTGGATGGGTGGAGGGGTGGAGGGGTGACTGACCAGGTTGACGTAGTGAGCCTGTCCATGTTATTGAACCACGTAAAGCACATAGCATATACTACTACCAAACCATGCCATACCACCATGCCATAGCATGTCAACAGCGACTGATCAGGTTGACGTAGTGAATAAGCTTGTCCATGTTCTTGAACCACATCAAGCCATACCCCTACCTTATCGCACCATACCACACCATGCCATGCCACACCAACCCCACATCGACTGCTGACCAGGTTGACGTAGTGAATAAGCTTGTCCATGTTCTTGAACCACATGATGGCCTCGTTGAACGAGAAGTCCTCGCCCATGGGGAACAGCAGATGGTTCGTGCGAAACGCCTGCGCCTGAAAGGGGGCCGAGAGGGAGCGAGCGACAGCGGGCGAGGCGAGAAGGCGGATGGGCGTGGCATTAGAAGGATGGTGTAGTTGGAGAGAGTAACTGCCGTGCACACAAAAGGATAACTTTATTTGGCGCTCTTGGAGGACTTAAGTGATTCAACATGGACCTGACCCTGTATGGAACGAGTTCTGTGCGTGCTGGGCCACTCTGGAATTTCTGCTGACTCACCCTGCATATGCTGACTCACCCTGTTCATTGTCTCCTGAACAAAGAAGTTCACAAATTGCTCCACGTTGGGATTTCTCTCGTTCGGCCAGTCCTGACGAAGCACACAGAGAGAGGTAAGGGGTCACAGAGGAAAGGGAGAGGAGGGGACACAGTGAGTGACGTGATGGCACGTGACATTAGGTGCCGTACCATGCCATTCACGCCTCATACCTGTGCGCCATAACACGCTTCACCTATGCGTTCTTTCGCAATCATGCTAGAACGTCAACCACTTCTCAACAACCCAACACTAACTCCAAACCAAGACGTTGTGCTATCTAGCTGACTCATGGTACCAAAACTCCTGTAAGTAGCATTTCCTTTTATTCAAAAATCCCAGGCCCACAGCTTGTGCCTGACTCACTATGATGCTTCAGACCACGAACCAGCCTCCCCCCACCCACTCTCCACCAACCTGCTTACCCTGAATCGGTACTCTGGGCTGTCTGTCTGCTGGTAGCGGAACTCCTGTGGCGAGTAGTACCCGTCGTACAGGATCCCAGTGAACACCTGCGTGTCCCTGGGCGCTCCTGTGCCCGCCCGCCACACAAACTCCATCTTCTTCTCTGCTTTGCGCTTCTCCATGTCTTTATAGTCCGCTCGGCCAAATATAAAGGCGTCCAAGCCAGCCTGGCCGCGAGACAGGGGTAGACGGGACGGGAGTAAACGAGACAGGATTGCAAAACGCCTGACGAATTATTGGCGGACGAGAATAGGGTACAGATATTAACACCTCCGACCAATATTATGACGGGCTGGAAACAGATCTTGCTACTACGAGAGCTGTTGCGTACGAGGAGTTTTTAAACAGGAGATGGTAACAATTGAAAACGAATAACGTTTCTCACCTGCGAGGTGATGAGGCTAGCCTGGGTGGCGGAGTGGCCGAATGGGTCAATCTGCCATGCAACGCGCGGCGTGATGTTGAAGTTCTCCTGGATGAAACGATGGCCCATGGACATCTGGTGCACCATGTCCGTGTAGTGGCACACCGCCTCGTCATGCATCACCCACCCTCCGTTGCTGCACAGCACACCGAACAGCATGGAATTGAGCAGGCAAAGGTATGAGGCCAAGAGAGACTATGCGAGCTTATTCCAGGCGGCAAATGCGAGTCTGTGTGAGGCCGTGCAGGAAAGGCAAGAAAATGGCCGCACGTGTGCCCAACGCATTGACTTCAAGTGCTTAGGTGGTGCCTTAAAATCTTGCCTTCGGCCTTAAATGCCTGAAGAATCCGCATGCAAGTGAGGCCGGATTTGGCATGTGACAACAAGATTCAGGCGTGTAAGTTCACAGGTCAGGTTCTTATATGTGTTGACTGGCATAAGCATGATGAGGAGTCGCGTCTGAGGAGACATGAAAGTTCAGCAAAACCAAATCCATTCCCTGGACAAGCTTGTGGACTCACATGAACTCAAGTTGACCAGAAGCGACAAGTTTCCTGACCCTATTTCTCATTGTCTCTCCCTGCTGCTGCCACCATAAGAAGAAGAACCCCTGCCATACAATCAATTGCCACATACACGTTAATGCATGTCTCGTTTCGCGGCATTCAGGACAAAGATTGCATGCAGAGACGCGACAGCTCACCTGTTCGACTTGTATGAATTTACGGTCAGGATTATCTGCGAGCTGATCAACGACGGTCTCGATGATGTATTGTACTTGGTCAAGCTGTCGAGGAGGTACGCAGAATCAGCGTGAATGACAAGAATGATAACAAGCAAATACGACGATCTGCGGCTTGAACTCACATAGTACTCGTCAACTGTCTTCACCCATCCGAGATCGTCGTGGGAATGAGCAATCAAATGGACGTTCAACTTCCCTTCCACAGTTCCCACTGACGTATTATAATGAATCGGTAACCGTTCTTCAAACGAAAACGAACTCTTGTCGACGGAATTCTTTAGCATTTGGGGCGAATCGACATATTCCGTCTGCTGCTGGTCTTCCGTAAAAGATTGATATCTCAGGTGGGTAGACATTGACTGCTGCAGAGCTAGCAGTGTGAATCCCGTTAAGATGCCAATGAAGAAAGGCGGAGCAATCATTGCAGTTCGGCTTATCCATGTCGGAGACATTCTGGTGGGTTTGTCGAATACGAGGCCGAAATTGCTAAGGTCAACGTCTCCGATGAGAGATCTTCGCGGATCGCCTGACAGCCAGGATACTTAAGGGTTCTATCCAACAACAATGCGAAAATGTGTTGACGATATCTTGTGAAATGCGTCAAATGTAAGTCTTCTGGTGAACTGAATAATCAAGCCCAGCTGACCGCGAAAATCAGAGGGTTGGTTGAGAGATTAACAGACACAACTTTGAGCCAACAAACTCCTCGATGGTTGTATTGCCTGCAGCACACATGTGCTTCACCACCTAAACGCCTGACCCAGCATAGCATGAACCAGCATTACCTCATTTTCAGGGACGCCATTTCCAACTAAAATTGAACTGGACCATTCAGCTTCCCCTTCATCCCACAGGCAGCACAGAATTGGTGCTTCTGCTTGCTGATTTGGTTTGGTGGAATCTACAGCTCCGGCCGGGTACAAATTTCAGAATGTGTAGACTTGGCTCGGCTCGGCAGGGACAGAAATCAGAATTGTAGCCCGAGTGTGTCGCTGTGACGAATGAGACTTCTGCAGATGAGAGCTGTGATCCGTGGATGAGAAAGAAATGGACGGCTCACACAGGTTCGCTAACGCATATGTCTGGAGAAGATATTATCTGTGTGCTCAGCCAATCCCGAGGTTCCTGGACAGCACAACCTGGACCAATAGGCCATGGTCATTACAACTTACAACCACATTTACATATTGTGTATATGTTACTCCCGATATTGCATAGCACGCAAAGAAGACCATAGGGTCTCACAAAAGGCACATGAATTTCATTCTTTACGATATCATTATAGGCGATAGGAGCCCATCGCACACCAGCTAAATTGATCATATCACGATGTGGATGTGGGCTTCAGAAACGCATGTCGCACAATGTCAACTATTCCACCACGCCTTTCTCTAAGAGTCGCATCCGCCACCTCTTTTCGCGGCGACGAGGTGTTCGTTCGCCGAATGAATTGAGGTGGAATTGTCACTTCGATGTCTTGGAGGTTAGCTGATCCCGCTGTGGCTGATTTCCGGAAGACTCGCCGGCTTCTGTTCCGACTAGCAGGGTCTGCAAAAAGGGCATCAACTGACTCGGAACTGCGGTTCTTTGAAAGGTTTCCGCCATACATCTCTTCTGTTCCGTCATTACACGTCTCCGAGCGAGCTTGGGCTTCGGCACTTCGCATCTTGGCGGTCTTTGGTCGAAAAAGAGCCGGAATTTCTCCTCGCCGAACCAAGTTGGTTTTCTCCCGCGCTAAGAAGGTCCGTCGATGCTTTCGCCACTCGCGCGCTCAGCTCCGCGGACGCCTGTTGCGCCTCGACGACAGCAAGCGCCGCCCCCCGAATGCGCGACCTAGCATCGTCAATCCACACGGGATCGCATGCGAGCTCTGCGATTCGCCATGAGCAGGACGGGCACAACGCATCTGCGCAGTCTCGCCGATCCGGTAGCGGTACCAGTGCATCACGGCGGGGTGTGCAGAGGTGAACATATCCTGTTTCCTGTCCAATTCTGGTATCACAGGTAGGAGAAATTGGAGCTTCCACCGTCGAGAGCTGCCGCGGCCTCGCGCCAATGCACTGGAATGGCTCGCGCGCTCTGACGGTAGTAGTCTGAGGATTGGGGATTAGGCTGGCGCACTCTCGAGCCGCGTCGTGGCGTTCGAAGCTGCTGGACGACAGCGTGGAGTCTGGGGAAATGAGATCGTTCGTGCACGTCGAGTTCTGAGCGCATCGTAAGGCGACGCTGTGCATAAGTGCGGCGCTTAAAAGACTCATGGTGAATTATTCGAAGTTTTGAGAGGCTTCGGGTTTGAATAGTGGCGTAAGTTGAACTGGTAAGTGGTGGAGTCTCGCGACTTTCATACATCGCGGGCATCTGTACGGTACAATGTGGCTGCAACGGCGAGGCCGCATGGGTATTGCAGCCAAAGTGTAATGGTTATCGCCGCCGCATCCGCCGTTACAACCCAAGGTTGGAGGGCGAGAGCGAGGCGCGGAGTCTTTGTGCAGAGCGACAGAACCTTGTTTTTTGGGTTATTATACGAATGGTCACTAGACAGGGCGCGCTGTCACAAAGGGCTATACGGTCATCACAAACGGTCATTGAAAATGGAAAATCTATCACGGATGGTCAACGGTTATCACGGATGGTCACTCGTCGCCCCACAATGTTATCACGAATGGTCACTAAAAGAAACCCCGCCCGAAAGTTGAAATCTAATGTAGCTACTCAAGTCACTGTGTGGATTAAGGGGAAGATTTATTGCGCACGCAATTTGTCCGTAGCACTGCGAAAGATTGTTACTTTTGAGAATATTTTGCGGTTGAGTATCCACACGGGCTTTCTTTTACGTTTCCGTCGTCTTCCTAAAATCCACGCCCAAAATGATTGTTTGCGTCTATAAATTTTGATGGGAAAATATGCCGTTCGTAACCATCATGAGACTCGAAAACATTTTTGGTAAAAAAATAAAGGGTACGGTCACTGCAAAGGGTGTTTTCACGCGACTGATAAAGCGTTTCACGGAATCAGTCAAAATCAGCTGGTAAAAGAAAACACGAATGGTCACAGATGAAACTCCCGCCAAAACAAAATGAAATCCAGAAAGAACCTGGATGCATTTTCGGATGATCAACCCTAAACACGTAACTCGCCAGGTGTTTAGGGTTGATCCGTTCCCAAACCGCATCCGATTCCGATTGGGTTTTAGTTTTTTTTACAAGTTCGCAGATTGGTTGGGCGCGAGCGGGAATTTTGTTGAGTTTCAAGTTTTTTTGGCGGGAGTTACATATGTGACCATTCGCGTGATTTTTTACCTGTTGTTAGTGACTGAATCCGTGACCCCGCTTACCAAACCCGTCAGAAAACCCGACACAGTGACCGTACGCGTTTTTTTTTACCATTCACGTTATCGAGTCCCAAGTTGGTTACTTGTGGCATATTTTCCCAATTTTGATTGCTTGTCACATCGCATATTGTTATTTCCAAACATCTAGAACAGGAAATAACAAAAATATACCCAATAGGATGGTATGCCCTTTCGGGAAGCATCAAACCTAAATATCATGCGACAAGGTTTTAACGGTTTATGCCTCCCGAAAATAATCCCATCCGAATGGGTTCTAGATTTATTTCACGAATAGCAAATTAAAATTTGGAGTTTCACCCATCTAGAAATGATACTTTATGGAGATTATGCATATTTCCTGCAACGATCGAACCGTGAACAGTGAGTAAATGATTTCCTAAGGTAGAAACAGTGCCGCACGAAAAAAACAAACAAACAAAATTAACGTGCTAATAGTCCCTAAATCACAATAGTGTGACATTGCATGGAGCTGGATTTCAAACTTTTGGGTGGGCGTTTTTTTTTTGTGACCATTCGTGATACCTTTGCAGGGCGACGAGTGACCATCCGTGAGAGCCATCGACCATCAATGATCGTTTGTGATAACCGACTGACCATTTGTGATAGCGCGCTCTGTCTAGTAACCATTCGTATAACAGCCCTTGTTTTTTGTACATAATGGCTACACCTCCTTCCTCCCGCTCGCCCCCTCATGGACGGTTCCGTTCGTGGTCGGTGCGAAAGGGGCAAAATGTCTCCACATGTCCGCATGCTTGCAGCATTCATTTCAAACATCGAAGCTGGTTGGCTGATGTCAGTCCGATAAGGACCGAGCAGCAATGCTCCAACAAGGATTTGTCTCGCGTAACCCGTTTGGATTCGAACAAGCTTTTGCAGAACGCGGAGGCAACCAAGCAACAAACATATTTTTCGCAAATCAGTCTGGTACGGAATTAGTTACTGTGTAAATCAAGTGCTTGGGGTCCCTTCAAATACAACGAAGTTTCACGACGACTATTTTGGGCACCTCGTCTGTGGTTTTTCTCGCATGGTGCGCTCAACCTGAAAAGCGAAAGAAACGGAGTAACGTATGATCCCGTGGCACCGAGTCGTATAGCACGCGCGACAGTTGATGGGTTGTTGCCTTTCCATGTGAAGTTCTGTTTCCTTCGTGATACAGATCCACAAGAAGGATTCACTGCTCTTGAACTCGATATGGTTGGTTCGCTATGTGCTGTTAAGTCAGGCATCCTCTGAATCTCAAAAAAAAATTCTTCGGATACAAAGAGTTCAGTGATTCGTCAACCTCCTCACGTACGCAGAGGTGGTGTCAGCAATCCATGCTGACGATATATTGCACCAATCACAGAAGTTTGGCGCAGATGGCAACGTCACCTTGGTGTCAGTGAAGCTGCAGTTTGTTTATTCATGTTTTCCCAGCCCTGGTGTTCATCACCCTTCAAATGTTATTTTGAACAAGTAATTACCACGTGAGGCAGACAAGCACCTTCCCACGACAATATATTCGTCCGTGCAAACATTTACGAAAGTCCGGGCAGAGAGAGTTTCAATCCATAACTCATTGTGATACTTCTTCGTCGCTTCCACGAAGGTGGCAGGGAGACAACTGCCAGTACAGGCGTACAGTACACCTGGCGACCATCGCCGTGTTGGCGAACTCGAACCCAGCAGGATGTTGCCGAGTACACAACTCTCAGGGCCCCCAAACAGAACAGTATACATATCACCCATAAACAACACGACAGCCATTTCAGAAATCTCGTTTTCTAATGTCATCTCTAGAACGTAAGCAAATGCATGATGGTCAATGATGTGACAAGCCCAAGAATCGCAGTTCGCGTCTTCCAGTTCAGTTCCTGTTAGATTAATAACGCTCGTTTGCGGGTATCTGGGCTATTCAAGCTGAGTGGTAGCAGTAAGGCATTTAAGTTATTAACAGACCTGGATTCAGAACAAATGGGAGAAACGGACGGATCCAAGAAGCGACAAGGGGGGGAATCGGATCACCCTGCGGCCATGATCCATCCTGGGAACCCAGACGCGGGGAATCAGGAAAGCAAGGATCATCCTAAGCTTCCAGACGGCGGAAAGCCGTTACTACTTGAAGAGAGGATGGTAGGCGACTCGCCGGTCGCCGTCTCCGAGACACCGAGAGGGGAGACGGAGGCGACCGAGAAGGATGAGAAGGATGATGAGGAGGAGGAGAAGAAGGGGAAGAAGAAGGAGAAGAAGCCGGCGGTGCCGTACTGGCGGCTCTTCTCCTACGCGGACCGCACGGACGTGGCGCTCATGGCCGTCGGCACGTTCGGCGCCGTGCTTCACGGCGCCGCGCTGCCGATCTCGTTCCTATTCCTGGGGAAAATGGTGGACTCGTTCGGCACGAACGACCTGTCCGGCGTGAACACGGTGAGGGGCGTGAGAGAGGGACGTGATGATGGAGAGGGCATGAGGTGAGGGCCAGGATGGGAGGGGTATGCTGTAGGAAGACGAGTACGTGTGGGTGTATCATACAGCGGCGAGTGGGCTTGTAAGGCGGACAATGTGCCTGGTTACGTTGCTTTCTTGCTTGCCTCGCTCTCTCCGTCTCTACTGTGCTAATGTTTTCACATTTTTCACTTGTGGTGTGCATGTGGTGTGTGTGTGATTTGTATATGATGTGCATGCCGTGTGCATGTGATGTGCATTTGTGTGTGATGAGCATCTGATCTGATGTGCAATTGTATGTGATGTGCAATTGTATGTGATGTGCATGTGTTTGCATGTAACGTGTATGTGATGTGTATGGATGTGCATGTGGCAGTTTGTCCTCGCTATGGTCTACATCGCTTTATGCTGCTTGGTTGGCGGATGGCTAGGTAATATTCATCATTCCTTTACATCAGAGTCTCAGAACCACCGCATTTCTTATACAAAGGGATCCACGTCATCATCCACGTCATCTTCCACGTCATCGTCCATGTCTCTCCAAAACCCGGTAACTTTTCTTACCTCAAATGCCATCTCCTGGATGCACACAGGCGAGCGGCAAAGTGCGAGGGTGCGCCGGCTGTACCTGCAGGCGCTGCTGCGGCAGGAGGAGCAGTCTGGGCCCTTGTGTTCCACTCCTCTCCGCCACTCCCCACACCTCCCTTTCTCCTCCCCCTTTCCTCCTTCGCAGAGGTGGCATGCTGGATGCACACGGGGAGCGGCAGTGTGCAAGGGTGCGTTGGTTGTACCTGCAGGCACTGCTGCTTCATCCGGAGCAATGGGGGTTACTCAGCCTTTCAGTCCTCTCCTGGCCTTCCCCCATCCCTTCCTCTTCCTCCCCCATGGCAGAGGTGGCGTGCTGGATGCACACGGGCGAGAGGCAGAGCGCGAGGGTGCGCCAGCTGTACCTGCAACTCACATTTCCCCCTCTTCCCATCTCCTCATCTGTCCTCCGCTTCCCCTGCCATCCCCGCAGAGGTGGCGTGCTGGATGCACACGGGCGAGAGGCAGAGCGCGAGGGTGCGCCGGCTGTACCTGCAACTCACATTTCCCCCTCTTCCCATCTCCTCCTCTGTCCTCCGCTTCCCCTGCCATCCCCGCAGAGGTGGCGTGCTGGATGCACACGGGCGAGCGGCAGAGCGCGAGGGTGCGCCGGCTGTACCTGCAACTCACATTTCCCCCTCTTCCCATCTCCTCCTCTGTCCTCCGCTTCCCCTGCCATCCCCGCAGAGGTGGCGTGCTGGATGCACACGGGCGAGCGGCAGAGCGCGAGGGTGCGCCGGCTGTACCTGCAACTCACATTTCCCCCTCTTCCCATCTCCTCCTCTGTCCTCCGCTTCCCCTGCCATCCCCGCAGAGGTGGCGTGCTGGATGCACACGGGCGAGCGGCAGAGCGCGAGGGTGCGCCGGCTGTACCTGCAACTCACATTTCCCCCTCTTCCCATCTCCTCCTCTGTCCTCCGCTTCCCCTGCCATCCCCGCAGAGGTGGCGTGCTGGATGCACACGGGCGAGCGGCAGAGCGCGAGGGTGCGCCGGCTGTACCTGCAACTCACATTTCCCCCTCTTCCCATCTCCTCCTCTGTCCTCCGCTTCCCCTGCCATCCCCGCAGAGGTGGCGTGCTGGATGCACACGGGCGAGCGGCAGAGCGCGAGGGTGCGCCGGCTGTACCTGCAACTCACATTTCCCCCTCTTCCCATCTCCTCCTCTGTCCTCCGCTTCCCCTAACATCCCCGCAGAGGTGGCGTGCTGGATGCACACGGGCGAGAGGCAGAGCGCGCGGGTGCGCCGGCTGTACCTGCAGGCGCTGCTGCGGCAGGAGGTGGCCTTTTTTGACCTCGAGGCGTGCTCGGGGGAGCTCGTGAACCGCGTATCATCTGATGTGTTGCTGCTGCAAGATGCCATCTCGGAGAAGGTGGGTGTGTTGGTGCTTGAGGCCCCTCAAAATATATCTTGCTGTGGCATGAGGTGGCCTTTTTTGACCTCGAGGCATGCTCGGGTGTGATGAGACGAGTTTTGAGTCGACTAAAAACTCGTCTCAGAATATGTGTTGCTGCGGCAGGAAGTAGCATTCTTTGACCTCGAGGCCTGCTCGGGGGAGCTCGTGAACCAGCGTGTGGCAACGTGTGGCAGCGTGTGGCAGCGTGTGGCAGCGTGTGGCAGCGTGTGGCAGCGTGTGGCACCGTGTGGCAGCGTGTGGCAGCGTGTGGCAGCGTGTGGCAGGGCACCTGGCCCTACTCCAGACACCTATCCTCTCTCCAATCCTCGCTTCCTCTCCCCCCAACCAGGTGGGCAACTGCATTCACTACTTCTCCACGTTCGTCTGTGGCTTCATAGTCGCCTTCACCAGCGTGTGGCAGCTGCCCCTACCCCAGCCCGCTGCTCACGCCCTTGAAACCCCCCCGCTGCCTGCTGCTCGTCCTTCCCCACCTTCCCCTCTCCCCCCAACCAGGTGGGCAACTGCATTCACTACTTCTCCACGTTCGTCTGTGGCTTCATAGTCGCCTTCACCAGCGTGTGGCAGCTGCCCCTACCCCAGCCCGCTGCTCACGCCCTTGAAACCCCCCCGCTGCCTGCTGCTCGTCCTTCCCCACCTTCCCCTCTCCCCCCAACCAGGTGGGCAACTGCATTCACTACTTCTCCACGTTCGTCTGTGGCTTCATAGTCGGCTTCACCAGTGTGTGGCAGCTGGCTCTGGTCATTCTCGCCGTCTGCCCGCTCATCATCGCCACAGGAGGGATCTATGCGGCTGTGCTCACGGGCCTCATGACCCAGGGCGAGAAGGCTTACACTGAAGCAGGGAAGATAGCTGAACAGGTACGTGTCTCAACCGACTGTCTTTTGGTTATTGGCAGGGAAGAGCAGGAAAGATAGCAGAACAGGTGCGCACAGGGCAGTCCTACATGGCAGAGGACAGCAAGGAGTGCTACTTGTGAGCCCCAACCATCTCCCTCACTCCTTTCATCCTTCCCCCTCTTTGTCCACCCAAACCCCCTCCCTCCACCACCACAGGCGGTGGGGCAGGTGCCCCCAGTGCAGTCATACGTGGCAGAGGACAGGACAGTGGAGGCATGTGGCCTCCCTCATCGCCTCGCCACCCACAACCTCCCTCACCACCCCCTCTTTACCACTCCCTCCCCTCCATCGCCCCCACCACATCAGGCGGTGGGGCAGGTGCGAACAGTGCAGTCGTACGTGGCAGAGGACAGGACAGTGGAGGCGTATGGGCGGGCTTTAAGAGACACATTCAAGCTGGGAGTCAAGGTGTGTTGAGGGAGGCATTCGTGCTGGGAGTGGAGTGAAGGTGCGATGGCCTTTGAGTCGACTCAAAAGGTGGAGGACAGGACAGTGGAGGCGTATGGGCGGGCTTTAAGAGACACGTTCAAGCTGGGAGTCAAGGTGTGTTGAGGGAGGCATTCGTGCTGGGAGTGGAGTGAAGGTGCGATGGCCTTTGAGTCGACTCAAAAGGTGGAGGACAGGACAGTGGAGGCGTATGGCCGGGCTTTAAGAGACACGATCAAGCTGGGCGTCAAGGTGAGTTGAGACATACCTGTCCTTCCCTATACGACTCTGGGCGCCATATTTATTCTAATGTTCTGGTTCTCCTGATATTCTCCGGTCTCCTTATCTGTTGAGTCGACTCAAAAGGTGACTTTTGACTTTTGATTTGAGTCGACTCAAAAGTCACCTCGATACGACTCTGGGCGCCATATTCATTCTAATGTTCTGGTTCTCCTGATATTCTCCGGTCTCCTTATCTCCTCCACCTTTTCCTCTCCCGTCCCTTCCCACCCACCCCCACCCTCAAACCCAACTCTGCTGGCACCTCTCAGGGCGGGTCAGCAAGGGAGTGGGTCTGGGCGCTATCTACTCCCCTCATGTTTGCATCCTTTGCGCTCATGTTCTGGTTCTCCGCCCTCCTCATCTCCTCGTACCTTTTCCTCCCCCGTCCCGTTCCACCCACCCCCACCCCCAAACCCAATCCCAACCCAACCCAACCCGGCTCAAGCCAGGGCGGGTCAGCCGAGGGAGTGGGACTGGGCGCTATCTACTCCCCTCATGTTCGCGTCCTTAGCGCTCATGTTCTGGTTCTCCGCCCTCCTCATCTCCCTCTTCCTTTACCTCTCTCTCCCCGTCTTCCCTCCCACCATCCTCACCACCATGTTTGCCATCGCCCTCCGCAGCCTGGGGCTTGGCCAGTGGAACCCTCTCCCACTCGCATTTCCTTCAATCCCCCTCTCCCTCTCCCTCTTCCGTGCTTCCCGCCACCACCCTCAACCCCCACAAACCGTCACAAACCAGGGAGGATTAGCCAAGGGAGTGGGACTGGGCGCCATATACGCGCTCATGTTCGCGTCCTTTGCACTCATGTTCTGGTTCTCCGGCATCTTAATTTCCCAAGGCATCGGCAACGGAGGGTCGATCCTCACCACCATGTTCGCCATTGCCCTCGGCAGCCTGGGGCTCGGCCAAGCCCTCCCTAATGTCACAGCCTTTTCCAAGGGCCGTGTGGCTGCGTATAAGATCTTTGTGACTATAGCGAGACGGCCGGTGATCGGCGGGGAGGAGGAGGGGGAGGGGGGGAGCGGTGGGAAGGAGTTGGAGGCGGTGGAGGGGCGTGTGGAGTTTGAGATGGTGTGCTTTGCGTACCCGGCTCGACCAGAAGTGCCCATATTTGAGGTGAGCTAGCTGCTTTTAAGTCGACTGAAACACAGGTGCAGGGGCGGGTGGAGTTTGAAAGGGTGTGCTTTGCGTACCCGGCTCGGCCTGAAGTGCCGATATTAAGGTGAGCTAGCTGCTTTTAAGTCGACTGAAACACAGGTGCAGGGGCGGGTGGAGTTTGAAAGGGTGTGCTTTGCGTACCCGGCTCGGCCTGAAGTGCCGATATTAAGGTGAGCTAGCTGCTTTTTAAGTCGACTGAAACACAGGTGCAGGGGCGGGTGGAGTTTGAAAGGGTGTGCTTTGCGTACCCGGCTCGGCCTGAAGTGCCCATATTTAAGGTGAGCTAGCTGCTTTTCACTGAGTTTTGAGACTTCCTTGATCATGCCGGCATTACAGTCACCCTGGTGGGCCCATGAGGCAGCAGCAAGTCAACCGTTCTCGCCCCAGTTCCCTACCACTCATCCTTCACCTCGCTTCAACTTCTCTCTCCTCCATTCACATTCCCACTTCCCTCCCCCTTCTCTCAGGACTTCTCCCTCGGAATCCCTGCCGGCACCACGGTCGCCCTGGTGGGCCCATCAGGCAGCGGCAAGTCAACCGTTGCCACCTCAATGCATAAACAATCCCCATTCTCCTCCCTTCCTCTCCATTCCCACTCCACTCCCCCTTCTCTCAGGACTTCTCCCTCAATCCCTGCCGGCACCACAGTCGCCCTGGTGGGCCCATCAGGCAGTGGCAAGTCAACCGTCATGGGCTCGACTCTCTACAGCCACTCCGCATTCACCTCCTCTCTCCATTTCTTCTCCGTTGTTACTTTCGTCCCCCCACACTCTCAGGACTTTTGCCTCTCAATCCCTGCCGGCGCCACGGTCGCTCTGGTGGGCCCATCAGGCAGCGGCAAGTCAACCGTCATGGGCTCGACTCACTGCAGCCACTCCGCATTCACCTCCTCTCTCCATTTCTTCTCCGTTGTTACTTTCGTCCCCCCACACTCTCAGGACTTTTGCCTCTCAATCCCTGCCGGCGCCACGGTCGCCCTGGTGGGCCCATCAGGCAGCGGCAAGTCACCCGTTGCCACCTCAATGCATAAACAATCCCCATTCTCCTCCCTTCTTCTCCATTCTCATTCTCCTCCCCACACTCTCAGGACTTCTCCCTCTCAATCCCTGCCGGTGCCACGGTCGCCCTCGTCGGCCCATCAGGCAGCGGCAAGTCAACTGTCGTGGCACTCATTCAGCGCTTCTACGACCCGACAGCTGGCAGCGTCTCATTGGACGGTGCGGATCTGCGCCAGCTCAGCCTGACGTGGCTGCGTTCCCAGCTGGGGCTTGTCAGCCAGGAGCCGTCTCTCTTCGCCACCAGGTGGGTTTGCGGCACGGTACTATCTGAGAGTGGTAGGGTCAGGTGCAGAGCGGTAGTGTGGATGGGTGTCAGTTAGGGCTGCAATGGCTGCGTTCCCAGCTGGGCCTCGTCAGCCAGGCCGTCTCTCTTCGCCACCAGGTGGGTTTGCGGCACGTTACCTGTTACACGGAACAGTTCGGAGGGGTAGAGTCAGGTGCAGAGCGGTGGTGTGGATGGGGGCAGCTCAGCCTGCCGTGGCGTCAGCCAAGAGCCGTCTCTCTTTGCGACCACGTGATGTGGGGTGAGGTGGCTATTTTTTAGTCGACTCAAAAATCGCCTCATCACACACGTGATGTGGGGTGAGGTGGCTGCTATTCAAATAGATGACCATGTTGTGTGTCGTGGCACCAGGCTCGGCAGCAGGCTCGGCTCCAGGGCTGGAAAGGCCTGGCAGAGGACACTGCTACTGCTGCTGTTGCCTCTTCGCTTGCTGCTTTGCCTGGTGGGTAAGAATGCATGAGTGTGGGCCCTTGTTTGAGGTGCCCCTTGTTTGAAGCACCTACTGGTGATGTGTTGCCCACCCTTCACCATTATTTCTCCCACTCTCCCCGTTTCGCAGCATTCTGGAGAACATTCGGTATGGCAAGGAGGACGCAACACTGGAGGAGGTGGAGGAGGCAGCAAGGATCGCCAACGCGCATTCCTTCGTGACTGCGCTGCCCCAGGGTTACAACACACAGGTGAGTGTGTGTGGTGGGCTTCATTAGTATTGGTTAGAGAAGCTAAATTGACACAGGAGGAGGTGGAGGAGGCAGCAAGGATCGCCAACGCGCATTCCTTCGTGACTGCGCTGCTGCATGGGTACAACACACGGGCGCGTACCTTAGCCTTGGGGCTGGTCTGTTGGTTCATGACTATACACAGAGGTGGAAGAGAGAAGGGCGTGCAGCTGTCAGGAGGGCAGAAGCAGCGCATCGCCATCGCCATCGCTCAACTGTTGATGCCCTCTCCATCTTACACTTCATCCCTGCCTACCTTGCCCCTGTGAAAATCTGCATGCAGGTGGGAGAGAGGGGCGTGCAGCTGTCGGGGGGCCAGAAGCAGCGCATCGCCATCGCCAGAGCGGTCGTCCGCAACCCGCGCGTGCTGCTATTGGACGAGGCCACGTCAGCACTGGACAGCGAATCAGAGCTCGTGGTGCAGGCGGCCCTGGACAGCGGGCTGATGCGCGGCAGATCAACGGTTGTGATCGCACACCGGCTGTCCACGATCCGGAATGCAGACAAGATTGCTGTGGTGGCCGGGGGAAGGGTGGTGGAGGAGGGGACACATGAAGAGCTGATGGCACATGGGGGGCTGGAGGAGGGGGGAGGGGGAGGGGAGGATGAGGGGAGAGGTGTGGGTAGTGCAAAGGAAGGTGCGAGGAAAGAGGGAGGCGTGTATGCTAACTTGGTTCGCCTGCAGATGGTATCAGGGGAGGATCGCCACGTAAGTCTGAATGCTCTGGCCAATCAGGTTCCAGGATTGAAAGCAGCCGGCCGCCTTCGAATTGACGTGGACCAATCAGGATACGAGGAGGACGTGGGGAGGAAGATCTCGAGGGCGCTGAGCTCCATCTCAGCATCCTCCACGCCACGCTGCTTCAGTGATCCTGCAGCTGACGTGGGCCAATCAGGGAGCGTGGAGAACGTGGGAAGGAAGCTCTCGAGGGCGCTGAGCTCCCTCTCAGCAGCCTCCACTCCACGTGACTTCAGAGAGCCTGCTGCTGACGTGGACCAATTAGGGAGCATAGAGAACGTGGGAAGGAAGCTCTCGAGGGCACTGAGCTCCCTGTCAGCAGCCTCCACTCCAGATGGCTTCAGAGAACCTGCTGCTGACGTGGAATTTGACTTGGATCTGATGGGATCCGACGAGGATGAGGAAGAGGGAGAGGGAGGGGAAGGGGGAGGAGGGAAGCGAGTGTGGGGGGAACTGAGGAAGGTTCTACCAGCTCCCCTGAGGGCGTTATTCCCTGGCGGCAAAAAGAGGGGAGAGGACAAGGGGGGAAACAGTCAGGAGGGCAAGGAGAGTGGAGTGGAGGAGGAGGGCGCGAAGGGAGACGGAGAAGGAGAAGGGGAAGGAGAAGGAGAAGGAGTGGGGGGAAAGAAGGCGTCGTGGTGGCGACTAGCGCGAATGAGTGCTCCTGAGTGGCCGTTCACTGCTCTGGGTGCGGCTGGTGCTGTGATGGCAGGCGCGTTCAACCCTGTGTATGCGCTTCTGCTCATTGATGTGAGTGGGTCTGTAGTGTGGGTTGGTGTGGGTTTGTAATGTGAGTGTGTCAGTGCCCTGGGCGCCACTGGTGAGTGTGAGTGTGATGGCAGGGGCGTTCAATCAACCCCATGTATGCTCTGCTGCTCATTGATGTGAGTGGGTGTCTTGAGTCTCTTGAGCCTCAACAGGCTCAAAATTCACCTGTTGAGTTGTCGTATTCACCTCTTGAGTTGTCGTATTTTGAGACGTCTCAAAAGTCTCTTGAGTCGCCTCAAAATTCACCTGTTGAGTGATTGCTGGTGAATTCACCTGTTGAGTGATTGCTGGTGAATTCACCTGTTGAGTGATTGCTGGTGAATTCACCTGTTGAGTGATTGCTGGTGAATTCACCTCTAAAAGTCTTCTCCGCTGGTGCTGTGAGTGGGATTGCAACGTGAGTGGGATTGCAACGTGAGTGGGATTGCAACGTGAGTGGGATTGCAACGTGAGTGGGATTGCAACGTGAGTGGGATTGCAACGTGAGTGGGATTGCAACGTGAGTGGGATTGCAACGTGAGTGGGATTGCAACGTGAGTGGGATTGCAACGTGAGTGGGATTGCAACGTGAGTGGGATTGCAACGTGAGTGGGATTGCAACGTGAGTGGGATTGCAACGTGAGTGGGATTGCAACGTGAGTGGGATTGCAACGTGAGTGGGATTGCAACGTGAGTGGGATTGCAACGTGAGTGGGATTGCAACGTGAGTGGGATTGCAACGTGAGTGGGATTGCAACGTGAGTGGGATTGCAACGTGAGTGGGATTGCAACGTGAGTGGGATTGCAACGTGAGTGGGATTGCAACGTGAGTGGGATTGCAACGTGAGTGGGATTGCAACGTGAGTGGGATTGCAACGTGAGTGGGATTGCAACGTGAGTGGGATTGCAACGTGAGTGGGATTGCAACGTGAGTGGGATTGCAACGTGAGTGGGATTGCAACGTGAGTGGGATTGCAACGTGAGTGGGATTGCAACGTGAGTGGGATTGCAACGTGAGTGGGATTGCAACGTGAGTGGGATTGCAACGTGAGTGGGAGTAATCGCCTTGCCTTTTCTTTCCCTTCCCGCTCTTCTGAACCACTCTCTAGGTCATATCAGCTCTGTAAGACCCAGAACATAGACTATGACACGGACGATGGGGACTTACACTTCACTGCTCCTTTCTATCACATTATGCCATCTCCACACCCCCCCCCCATCTCCACACCCCCCCCCATCTCCACACCCCCCCCCATCTCCACCACTCCTCTTCCCTCCTTCAGCTGGTTGCAGCTCTCTACAACCCTGATACCGACGAGATGAAGCGGGAGGTCAACAAGTGGGCCATTGTCTTCACGGCTGGCGGCTCAAGAATCTTTCAACTTCTTTACCTTGTGCCGGCTATGGCATCCCATCCCCAACCGCACTTCAGGTGATAGCGGCTCTCTACAACCCTGTTACCGATGAGATGAAGCGGGAGGTCAACAAGTGGGCCATTGTCTTCACTGCTCTGGGCGTGCTGGCGCTGCCAGTGCACTCGGTGCAGAACTATGGCTTTGGCGTGTCTGGAGAAGCACTGGTGAAGCGAGTCAGAGAGAAGATGCTTGCAGGTGCGTGGGGGAACAAAGCCAGGTTGGGAAAGGTACGGATTTGGTCTTCACGGCTCCGGGTGTGCTGGCCTTGCCAGTACACTCAGTGCATAAATGCGGCTTTGGGGTGGCAGGGGAAGCACTGGTGACGCGAGTCAGAGAGAAAATGCTGGCAGGTGCGTGGGTGGTGGGAAGGGTGTCAACGTCTTAAGCACCTGTCCTGGAAGGGTCTGCTTTGGCGTGCTGGCCCTGCCAGTACACTCAGTGTAGAACTACGGCTTTGGTGTGTTGGGGGAAGCACTGGTGTAGCAAGTCAGAGAGAAAATTCTAAAAGGTATGTAACATAGGAACATCACAACGGGAGGGGGAGGGGGAGGGGATTCACGGCTCTGGGCGTGCTGGCGCTGCCAGTGCATTCGGTGCAGAACTATGGCTTTGGGGTGTCTGGAGAAGCACTGGTGAAGCGAGTCAGAGAGAAGATGCTTGCAGGTGCGTGGGGGAACATTGCCAGGTTGGGATCGGTAGGGCTTTGGTCGTGGGGGAACATTGCCAGGTTGGGATCGGTAGGGCTTTGGTCTTCACTTCTCTGGGCATGCCCTGCCAGTGCCACTCCTTGCAGGATTATGGCTCTGGGGTGGTGGGGGAAGCTGCGGTGAAGCGAGTCAGGGAGAAGAAGAGAAGACGGTAACACCAGTGGATTCATCGCCTCTCGTCTTGCCACCGACCCCACTCCCCCTTCTCGCCCTCCTTCCCTCCTTCCTCCCTTCCTCTCCACCAGTGCAGCCATCCTAGGCAATGATCGATCGGGTTCGATCGGGACGCCAACGCCAGCGGAGCCATCGCATCTCACCTCGCCAACCATGTCACTCCCTCCTTTCCTCCCTTCCTCCTCCCCTCCCTCATCCCTCCCCCCACAGCCATCCTAGGCAACGAGGTGGCATGGTTCGATCGGGATGCCAACGCCAGTGGAGCCATCGCCTCTCGCCTCGCCACCAACGCCACTCTCATCAAAGCAGCCGTCCTGCCCTCCCTGTTGGCCCCCCTCTCCCCCCGTCCCACCACCGACACCACTTTCGTCAAAGCAGCCGTGGCCGACCGCATTGCTCTCTCTGCACTCTTTGCACTTCCCTTCAATCCCTCCCCCCACAGCTATCCTAGGTAACGAAGTGGCATGGTTCGATCGCGACACCAATGCCAGTGGAGCCATAGCCTCTCGCCTCGCCACTGACGGCACTCTCATCAAAGCAGCCGTCATGCCCTCCCTGCTGCCCTCCCTGCTGCCCCCCCTCCCCCCTCCCCTCCCCGTCTCGCCACTGACGGCACTCTCGTCAAAGCAGCCGTGGCCGACCGCATCGCTCCCGCCACACTCTCTTCCTCTCCCTACCATCCATCTCCCCTCCCTCCCTTTTCCCCCTCCCTCCCTCCATCCCTCCCTCCCTCGCTCCCGCCTTCCTCTCCTCCCCCACCCACCGCCTGCAGCCATCCTAGGCAACGAGGTAGCATGGTTCGATAGGGACGCCAACGCCAGTGGAGCCATCGCCTCTCGCCTTGCCACAGATGCCACCCTAGTCAAAGCGGCTGTGGCAGACCGCATTGCCCTCGCCACGCAGAACCTGTCGGTGATCGTGATCGCGTTTGTGATCGGGTTCGTGGTGGAGTGGCGCGTGGCACTGGTCGTTATTGCCACATTCCCTCTGCTCATATTTGCCGCACTTATGGAGGTGAGGAGGGGGAGTGGGATAGCGTAGCTCTCGCCACACTGACAGTCATGCTCTGCAGTCACTGACAGTCTTGTGAGCGTGCAGCCATGCATGAGTCGAACCCCTTCCTCTCCACCTCTCATTCCTCCTCTCCTCCTATTACCCCTCTTCTACCCCTCCTCTTCTCGCCCCTCCCACCCACATCGCCTCCTCTCCCCCTTCCCAGCAACAATTCCTGGCAGGGTTTGCAGGCAACCAGAACTCATCGCATGCCGGCGCCACCACCATAGCAGCAGAGGCAGTCGCCAACATCCGCACTGTAGCAGCATTCAACGCACAGGAAAAAATCCTCGCACTGTTCACTGCCAGGCTGGCAGGCCCGCTCAGGCGCTCATTCCTTCGTGGGCAGGTTGGCGGGGCAGGTTTCGGGCTGAGCCAGTTTTTCATGTATGGTTCGTACGCATTAGCCCTCTGGTATGGGTCGACTTTAATTCCCAATACAGCGTCATATGGTGATGTGCTGAAGTCATTTATGGTGCTTATAATGACTTCGATGGCTATAGCAGAGAGCATTACTCTCGCTCCAGATATTGCCAAGGGAAGCGTGGCTGTTAGATCAGTGTTCAAGACCACCGATCGGACGCCCAAGATTCAATCGGACGATCCGACGGCTGAGCTGGTCTCGACTGTTCGCGGGAAGATTGAGTTCCGGTCAGTTTCTTTCGCCTACCCGACCCGCCCGGAAACGCCCGTGCTGCAAGACCTTTCTCTCCGGGCAGCGCCTGGGAAGATGCTTGCGCTGGTGGGCCCGTCGGGCAGCGGAAAAAGTTCCGTGGTGGCCCTGGTGGAGCGATTCTACGATCCGACGGCTGGGAGCGTGCGGGTGGATGGGGAGGACATCCGGACCGTTCATCTGAAGACTCTCCGATCGTTTATCGGGCTTGTCAGCCAGGAACCCGCTCTCTTCGCCACCACGTAAGCAATAAGGTTCGTGTTGTCTAGTGCCTGTTATGTAGGCAATGTAAGTGCGTGTTGTGAATGTAGCCTGCACTCGTCGGGCTGGTCAGCCAAGAACCCGCCCTCTTTGCTACCACGTAAGCAGTGTGGTGTTTCTGAGAATTCTAAAAGGCACTCTGCAGCATGAGGGAATTTGTGGTCTCTTTCTTTTTCACCCCTCCACGGCCCCATGTCTCCATGTCCTCCCAGCATCCGCGGCAACATCCTGTACGGGCAGCCAGGTGCCAGCGAGGCCGAGGTGGTGGAGGCAGCGCGAGCAGCCAGCATGCATGGGTTTATCAGTGGGCTGCCAGAGGGATACGACACGCAGGTGAGGGGGGGAAAGGAGGGGGGTACGTGGGGGGGTTGCTGATAGGTGCGCGTACCTGGTGTAATGGAAGCAGCCAAGACAGCTAACGTGCATGGGTTCATCAGTAGCTTGCCAGAGGGATACGACATGCAGGTGAGAAGGGGGGGGCGGTGGGGAGCTTGTTCGATGTGGCCTTTCCTGGTGTGGTGGAAGCAGCACGGGCAGCTAACGTACATGAGTTCATCAGCAGTCTACCCGAGGGGTACGACACTCAGGTGAGGGTGGGAGGAGGGGGGAGAGGGGGGGTTGCTCGCTTGGTGGTTTTCTCTTCATCTGTACGCGTGCCTGGTGGTGTGGTGTTAGCAGCCGAGCAGTCGGCTCAGGTTGGGTTGGGCTGGGTTGGGTTGGGCTGGGTTGGGTTGGGTTCATCAGCGCCCTTTCCCTTCCCCCATTTGGATGTGCGTGCAGGTGGGAGAGAGGGGCGTGCAGCTGTCAGGAGGGCAGAAGCAGCGCATCGCCATCGCCAGAGCCATCCTGAAAGACCCGGCGGTGCTGCTGCTGGATGAGGTATGGCTGACAGTGATAGGTGGTGATGGGTGGTGATGGGTGATGGTGGGTGGTGATGGGTGGTGATGGGTGGTGCCTCAAAAGTCATTGCCAGAGCCATCCAGAAAGACCCGGCAGTGCTGCTGCTGGATGAGGTGCAGATGAATTATGTATAATTTCATATGTGTCCCCGCTCACTCACCTGCTCACTCACCTGCTCACTCACCTGCTCACTCACCTGCTCACTCACCTGCTCACTCACCTGCTCACTCACCTGCTCACTCACCTGCTCACTCACCTGCTCACTCACCTGCTCACTCACCTGCTCACTCACCTGCTCACTCACCTGCTCACTCACCTGCTCGCTCACCTGCTCGCTCACCTGCTCGCTCACCTGCTCGCTCACCTGCTCGCTCACCTGCTCACTCACCTGCTCGCTCACCTGCTCGCTCACCTGCTCGCTCACCTGCTCGCTCACCTTCTCGCTCACCTGCTCGCTCACCTGCTCGCTCACCTGCTCGCTCACCTGCTCGCTCACCTGCTCGCTCACCTGCTCGCTCACCTGCTCGCTCACCTGCTAGCTCACCTGCTCGCTCACCTGCTCGCTCACCTGCTCGCTCACCTGCTCGCTCACCTGCTCGCTCACCTGCTCGCTCACCTGCTCACTCACCTGCTCGCTCACCTGCTCGCTCACCTGCTCGCTCACCTGCTCGCTCACCTGCTCGCTCACCTTCTCGCTCACCTGCTCGCTCACCTGCTCGCTCACCTGCTCGCTCACCTGCTCGCTCACCTTCTCGCTCACCTGCTCGCTCACCTGCTCGCTCACCTGCTCACTCACCTGCTCACTCCCCAGTCACTCACTCACTCCCCAATTTCTCGCTCACTCCTTACTCACTCACTCACTCACTCACTCACACGTCCTTGTTGCTTCAAACTTCTCCATCCTGCATGGCTCTCCCCTGCAGGCCACGTCAGCACTGGATGCGGAGTCTGAGGTGGCGGTCCAGTCAGCGCTGAATCGCATCATGATTGGTCGCACCACGATTGTCGTGGCCCACCGCCTCTCCACCATCTGCCACGCCGATTGCATTGCTGTGCTGCAGGTGAGGGGGGGAAGGGGGGGGTGGACAAGGGAGAGGGAGTGTGTCTGTTGGGTTGAGTAACAGAGTGATGGGATGTGTGGAGGGTTGAGTGCCTGAGTGACTCTCCCCTCTCCACCATCTGCCATGCGGACTGCATTGCTGTGCTGCAGGTGAGGGGGCGGAGGAGAGGGGGGGGGTGGGAGGGGGGGGAGCGGGGGGGAGAAGAGAGCGTGGGTGTTTGTGTTGGGTTGGGTAACAGAGCAACAGGGTATGTGGTGGGTTGAGTGTCATGACCCACCGCCTCTCCACCATCTGCCATGCGGACTGCATTGCTGTGCGGCAGGTGAGAGGAAAGGGGGGGGGGGGAGGGATTGGGGTTGGGGAGAAGGTGGTGTTCCTGGCTGAGTAGCAGAGGAACGAGATGTGTGGTGCACCGCCTCTCCACCATCTGCCACGCGGACTGCATTGCTGTGCGGCAGGTGAGGAGGGGACAGGAAGAGAGGAGAGTGTGTGTGTACCTGAGTAACAGAGTGATGGGGTGTGTGGTGGGTTGAGTGTCTGAGTAAGTGAGATTCTCGCCTCTCCGCCATCTGCCATGCCGACTGCATTGCTGTGCTGCAGGTGAGGGAAATGCTGGGGTTGGGGATGGGGGCGGGTGGCATGGTTGTGCTGGGCTGAGTAGCAGAGTAGCGAGGTGTGCATTGCGCCGCCTCTCCTCTCCACCATCTGCCATGCCGACTGCATTGCTGTGCTGCAGGTAAATGGAGGAGGGAATTGGGAGGGGGGGTGTTGGCCTGCGTAGCAGGGTGATGGGGTGTGTGGTGGGTTGAGTGACTGTGTGGTGGGGGGAGGGTGTGGGAGACGGGAAGGGCTTGCTGCTGTGGCTCCATGGCTCTCATTTCTCACCCACGTGGTAATGCTGACATACCGTATCTACATTGTATCATGTCTCTTTACTATGCGCTTACTGTGTTGTAGGGTGGGAGGCTGGTGGAGCAAGGCACTCATATGGAGCTCATAGGTGTACCTAATGGTGCTTATGCCACTCTAGTGCAGTTGCAACAAAGGAATAAGGTCGCCATGTGATGCATTTCATGCAATAAACCACTTGTTTGTCTGTCCATTATTAGTATCTAATGTAGTGCACTACTTGTATATGATATATCATAGGTACGAGGGCCATTGCAGTTTACTGCATTGGCCCTCAATTCCTGCGATGCCATGTTCCACGCAACAGGCCCCAGTAATCAGTGCACCAACCCCTCCCACCCGTTCCCTCTTCTTCTTCATAAGCCATTTTTTTTCATTTTTATTGTCTGGTGTGCAATTTGGCATGGTAGGCACCTAACTAAGCAATGTCCTGGCCATTCCAGAGCGAGTGAGTGAAATAGCATTGCGGTAATCACGCTGTCATACCGTATGCACACAAATACACATGCCTGCACGAGCATATGTAATGTTTGCACAACATCACTACATGTTGTTGAGCGAGAAGCTTGTACGTGTAGACATTCAGATCAAAGTGAGTTGCACTAACCACTTTCCCTGCTTCACCAGCAATGCCTTCCTTACCAGACCAGACAAGATGACCACCCGACTCGATCCACACCACACACACTCGGTTGGATGAACTTGGCAGGTCGTCATTGGTGCGCCAACAAGATCATTTATTGGTGCGTTTAAGGCCAAGTGTGGTTTGGCTGCTTGGTTGCAGTCGCAGCATTCGCGACGAAAACGCAGGCTTGACTGAAGAAGCTTCATGTACTGCTTCGCTGATGTTTGCACTTGGCTTCACTGTGGGCTACACCGAACTCATTAGAAACAAAGGTACAACTTCTTGACACGAAAAATAAATGGTTGAAGCGGCCCAATTGTCGCAAGCCCATGCCAAAACGGCTTTGTTCTGTATCACGTGTAAGGTTTTCAACTTTCTAATGGAAAACAGGCTGGGTTATTCAAACATTATAACCTGTGGAAGAACTGCAAGCCTTTTTTAAGCCCTGAATGCAGCGTGTCGAATGGTAAGCTTGAAAACCGAAACGGAATATTCTTGAAAAGGGCATCAGGTGTATGCTGTATGCATAGCAGATTTAGAAATGGTTGCCGGAAGCGGTCAAAAATAATGTTTTCCTTTATGTTCCGGAATTGGGAAGCTCCTCCAGTCCAGACCGGATGCAAAAGTGGGTGGATGCAGGATATTTTTGTGCTCACTATCTCCCGTAATTACTACGGCCATACAGTATCGTGAATCACAATTCGTGATTCCACCGAGTGTGAACCAGTATTGTATTGTTGTTCCGGAATTTTCAGGCAAAACACCTGTCCAGGGTAGTAGTTTGTTGGCAACGCCAGATCAGCCATCACAGGTGACGACGCGCGATCGGACATGACCTGCCACCGGACCCGATCCGGAAACAACTGCGTTCCCTCGCCGCCCAGGATCACTCTGCGGTGTTTTCAGGTGAATTTCAGATCAGTCTTGGGCTCACGAGTCACCACACGACTAGATGCAACTTGACACTCGGTAAGGGGCACCACCTGTCCAGTGGCTTGATCATGGACACTCCCCATGATCCCATCCCATTTCCTCACTTTTTCCAGCGCCTTCCTTGGTCAACATGCTCCTGCAATGCAGCTACGATTCACTTCGAGAGTGGCTTCCAACACATCGAAGAACGTTGAACTTCGGTGCCTACGTTTCCAGAACGGCACAGTCTGGTAACTGCTTCACACACAGTAGAGACTTTCGTGCACGACTGAAATGCATTACTGTTGACATCCCAACCGATTTCATTCCAAGGTTCGAGGGGTCACTTCGCCATGTTGCAACCAGGCTAACCGTTTGAATTATCCCTACGCCGTTTCAAACCGCTTTGTAGGAGTGTTGCTCAGAACAAAATGAATTTCGACCTTCCGTCACAGCTGTGGGGCGCTAAAACAAATAAGAAACCATTTCCTCGATACGTGATTCCCATTCCCCACAACGATTTATCATCCTCCAGTCCGCCGAATTGCTCACTCTAATCTTTTCTCGCGGCGTTGCACAAGCGCTCTTCTTGTAGTGAGTGCACGACGCGCTTAGAGAGTATACGCGCTGCGATCATGAGTTCCGCCATGGTGAACCATGAGTCCGGAAATCGCGGCCTGCTACTTAACAGAGGCTACTCGCAGAAGGAAGCAAACGATCGCACCTGGGAAGGTGAGCACAGCCGCCTCATATCCACTCCCACGCTTTCGGTTCCGTTTGTGTCATAATGTAGCACAGCATTTTCCTTAAGACTTCTACATTTTGTTTTATCGTAGAGTTTTTGGCTTTCCCGGGCCGGCACGGATTCTAGCGGCTCCTGCAGTGCAGCTTACATTCTCGAGTTTTCGTCCTCGGATTGTCTTGCGACAAAACCTAACAGATGTTTCCTGCTCCCCTTGCAGACCTTGAAAAGAGATGTCAAGCCATGGACTCCTCCAATGCCAGAATCGACGGCATAGATCTCACGTCGCTCCTCGAAGATCTGGAAATCGACGGCGCCGCTGGCGGCGACGATGTCGCGAGCGCAGACGGCGATTTCGCGGGCGGCGGTAGCAGCGGTCCCAGGAACGACACCGCAATCATGTCCCGCGCAGCGACCGTGTCGAATCCAGCTTCAGTGGTCTCTATCTCTTCGGTGACTTACTCTCCATCATACGACGACGGCGACGACGGATCTCCCCACTTCAGCACTCCGACCCGGAGCGACTCGAAGCCTCGACGACGGAGTTTAACGCTGGACCGTCGCAATCATCGTGGTAATACCACCAGTGACGCGGCCGCAGCAGCATCGGCCGCGGCAGCAGCATCATCGTTGCCCACGGCCATGAATGCAGCCGCCTCGTCGGCGGCTCGAAGCGTCTTTTCGTACCATTCCCCGCTTCACGCGGCAGGCGGCGCGGCGCGAAACAGCACTCCGAGTCGGCTTCAAGTTGACGTCACACCTCCGAACTCCGGGTTCGTCGGCAGAACCATGGGGAGTCCGTCTCTCGCCCAACCGCATGTGCTGCATTCTTCTCAAAGCGACTCTGCGGTTACCGCCTTGGCGTCGTCTGGACGGAGTAAATACGGCATGCAGAGTGGTGGGAGCTCGTTCGGTTCCGCATGCAGCGACGGGGGTTCAGCCATTGCAACTCCGACTCCTGCGACTGCTGGTGTTTTTCCGGTGCAGAAGTTTCAGCCAGGAGTGGTGTTTTCAAGCCCGATGCACCTGCCTCACCAGGATGCTGCTTTCGAAGCTCCCAACTCAGCAGGAGTCACTGCGTCTGGGTTTTCGCCTGGAGAATCGTCTGTATCGCCTGGATCGTCGCATGGATCTTGGTCTGAATCTCCTGTAGTGTCATCAAAATCCCTGTCTGGAGCATCCCCAGTCTCCGCAGATCCCGCCGCCATGATTCCTCGCCATTCCAGCTTGACTGCCATCTCCAATTCCTCTGCTGCTTCCGCTGCAGCAGCCCGTCACGTCCGGAGCAACACGGGCAGCCCGAAAACAATTTTCAGATACGTTTTACAACCCGGGCAGGTGCCGCCAGGGTCCATCAGTCAGATCGAGAAGTCCAGAGGGGAGGCGAGCAGCACAACGGGCAACGGTATGAAACGCATCGGGGAAGGGGCGGTGGAGCAGGAGAAAGAAAAGGCTGTCTTGAAGGAAGGTGGTGGAGGGTGTGCGTGGGCGTCTGTAAAAGCTCCAGCTGAAGGGGCGCAAGCGAATGTGAGGGTAAGAGCTGGAGCTAATCCCGCTGCTGTGGAGGCTTATTTGAAGATGAAAGCCCAGCAAGCAGGACGAAGATAGGGGGGATTCTCAAGCTGAGGCACACACACACCCTGAGGTAAACAACGCTGATCTATCAATGGCCGGATATTATGAGTTGAATTCATTGTTAGTGGAACACTCCTACAGTGTGTTCGTGATGCTATAAGAGTGTCTTGCGGCAGTTGTGTAATAAATATTATGATGAATCATAGCTAGAAAGTTGGCAATTTGTGCTATGGCAATCCCTGGTTTATCAACATAGCTGTCACCAGAAAGTGTGATGTTTATTCCCAACGATTCAGTATGAACACAAATGCAGGGGTATCTTATGTAAACCACAGCCCATCTCAACACAGCAGGGATCACTCCTGCTTGTCTCATTGTTATGCATCCACACTGCACGCACTGTATGTACAGAAACTCTCCTGAACTACCACACACGGACACACACACATGTACCGTATAAAACAGCACACAAACTAGAGTATATCCTACCCCTTTTATCTTCCTCGTTGGGCCTTCAGCTTGAAATATGCCTCTATAGCAGCTGGGTTAGCCCCGTTCTTTACCAACACTGTCACCCCACCGGGTTTGCAACTGCCAGCAGCAGTAACAGCAGCGGCAGCAGGACCAGCCACGGGAGCAGCCGCAGGAGCAGCAGTTGACGCTTTATGTTGAGCAGCCTGCGCAAGTCGTCTTTCCCCGGCTGCACCTGATTCCCCACTGCTGGTGGGACGGAAGCGCACTACTGATGCGACAGTCACACTAGGCGTGTGTGACACGAGCGGTGACACGTCTCCCGCACTGCTCTGCCGTAGGAGCACGCGGCAAGGTGACGGCTTGAATTCAGATCCTGCAAGGCCGATGCCGCAACTGACGCCAGTAAGATCATTGCTGCTTCCGCCGAAGCTACTCCCGCCGAAGCTACTCCCGCCGAAGCTGCTTCCGTAGCTGCTGCCGAGCTCCATGCTCCCGCTGTGGCTGCTGTTCAGGCTGCTCGTCGACCCGAACCCGTGCCGCAAGGGGCCGCTTTGAGGGCCGGTGTGGGGCCCGTTGGGGAGACTTTCACTCCGGGGGGCGCCGCCAAGGGGGCTTCCGCTGTGGCTGCTATTCAGGCTGCTCGCCGACCCGAATCCATGCCGCAAGGGGCCGCTGTGGGGGCTTTCGCCGTGGGGAACGCCGCAAAAGGGGCTTCCGCTGCGGGGGCCGCTGAGGGGGCCGCTGTGGGCGCCATAGCCTTCAGGGCTGCGTCGTGCAGGGCTCCCCTGAGATCGAATTGAGCCGTCAGAGTGGTACTGCGCCTGGCTGACGCTGTACTTTCCGCTGAAGCCGTACTTTCCGCTCAGGCCGCCTTTTCCGTCCCTCTTGACTTGCGGCTCCTGGTAGCCGCGCGCTGCTCTGTCCGCGTGGTTACTTTGGTTGAAATTTGCGGGATGGACCGACTCGGACGCGCTGGAGAAAGAGCTCCGCCGGTGCTGCGTCGGCGGAGGACTCGCCGCCGCTGCTGTCATGTCAGGGCGATTGATGGGGGAGAAGGTATGGCTCAGGCGGGAGGCGGGGCGGGCGCCGGCAGCGGAGAAATGGGTGGCGGCGCCGCATTCCGCCACATTTGTCGATTCGTCGTCGTGGTCGCCTCGGTTGTCCTCGTTACCGTCGTCCTCGCTACCATCATCGCTGCCGGCGGGTGCGACGCCTTCTTCCAGCATATGCGTGAGATCAATGCAGTCGATCTGCACGTTGTTCGAGTCCATCGCGGCGCACGTTCGCTCCAGCTCCTCCCATCCGTGCGACGCGGAACTGTCGGTCTCCGAGCCGCTCTCCTCTACCACCGCTTCCAATGCCGACCAGAGGCCGCTCATATTATTCACCACGGCGCTAGATTTCCCGCTGATTATGATGCCTGGTTGAATGCCGCCGCATATCGCGCCGCTCGTGCCGCCGCTGGAGGTTCTATCTGCGCGTTTTCTTCCGCCTGGTGGTTTTCCTCCGCCGAGTAGTTCAGCGGCCATTCCCAGCCCAACTCCGCCAGTGAGCATGTTGAATCGTTCCTCGATGGACGGATCAGATGCTCTCACGGTGCAGATTTTGCTCGCCATGGCCTTGGGAGGTGAACGGGAGTGAATATGGATTCTTGACGCTGCGAATGGGAGATGTCACGTGTATAAGGGAAATAATGCGGCGTAGATGATATTTGACTTGGTAAGAAGAGCCTGTGGCTGCTGACTGCTGTGCTCTGTTGTTGTGCTTGTGGCTAGGGCTGTCCTTCACCTCAGTCACGGAGCAACGATACTGTACGTCTCTTGATTTGAAGCCTGTGAGGCTATTTACGAAGAAAGTCCAGTTCGTGACAGGCCTGTCGAAGTCCCTGGGGCCAACACTTTGAGTTCTGAGCTGCTCGAATTCTGGCCCTGATTTTCACGGGCGCAGGCCAAATTCGAAACTTGAAATCCGGGTTTCTTCGGAAACTATCCTCTATCCCCTATCTAACAAAAAGTTCGATCCGAAAACTTAGCAGAAGAGGGGGCATAATAACTACTATCTACACACCCACACCCTCTACATCGTAGGCAGACTCTTCGTAGGCAAACATCTGGGGGTTGCGGGGGGGTGGGGGTATTATTAAGGGGGGGGATCCTTCGGAACATAAATCAACTCTTGGATCCAGGGGAATACCCAAACGATGTCCTTAACTGTCACGGGTGCCATGCAAAATAAATACTTTAATCGGTCGAGGTGCTCCGAGCGTAGCCCGGAATGTTCAGGACATTAAAGCCGGAAGCCCAAATTGCACAAGTTTTAAAAGGATGACGCGAGGGGTTTTTTCTGGGTTGGGTTTTGGCGAGTGATTTCGATTTCGGGCATTTCGTTTTTTTCGCCAAACCCAGCCAGCCCACGTATTTCGCCCTGGCGGTTGTGTCAGCACCCGAAAGTCCCAAATTGCAGGTGCGCTACTTTTCAAAGCTTGCACACTGCACTTCGTCAAGTTTTAAAAGCATGAACCACGCGCCTCGCAATTTGGGACTCGGGCTTTAAGGACAAATGCTCATGCTTCGACAGCCCTGGTCCGTGACTGTCACATGTCCTGAGGACCTCTCCTCCAGATCTGAGGCTCAACTTGAGAATGTATGTTCTTTCCAAATCCCGAGCAATGCAACTTGCCCTCCTCCCCACACTGTCATCCAGACAGGTGAAATCGAGCCGCCTTAGCTGTCGCCTCGCCGCGCATCGCGCTTGGCTTCACGCGGTGCAGTGATGCAACATGGAACATCAGTGTGCATTGCATCCTGGCGAAGTTACGACTATTGTCCCCGAAATGTTAACGACGATGATTAATGCCTGCGACGAACCAGGTATTGATGTCCAGTGACTGATGCAAGCTGACAACCAGTAACGCCAGCCTGGATAAGGGCAACAATCCTGCCCTTCCGCGTGTCAACATAAAATCCTGCCTCGTGTGCAACCACTGTTGTAAGGGAACACAGCCAGGAAGTTTCATGTCATTGAAGCGTCACTCAGTCATTCCAATTGCGTGTGATGGGAAGGCATGGAAAAACGGCTGGCGGCACACGTCACCCTTCGTCATAAGCAATTTGACGGAGACACAATTTTCTGAAGACCGTGTAATGACAGCGTTGCAGTTATCTGTACACGTGACCCTGGAATCAGAAAGCACCAATGTTTTCTTCCAATCGGCGCCGACTTCAACGCTGCCCATAGGTCCAAAAAAGCACGGGCTCCGCACCGATTGGTTGGGAACTTCCTTTTGATGCTTGTTGCTAGGAAGAGGCGGCGCCGACATTTCAGCTGCCGACAGACATTACAGTACAGTGAGGGACGTTGTGGATAACAGTGTTCCACTTCAGCTTCTACTTCACATGTTCCTTATCATATTAACCAGGGAAAATATGCCACAAGTAACCAACATGGGACTCGATAACGCGAATGGTAAAAAAGTAAAGCGTACGGTCACTCTATCGGGTTTGCTGACGGGTTTGGTAAATGACAATTATCGAGACCCTTGTTGATTACGAGTGGCATATTTTCCCTATTAACAACCTATCAACGAAGCCTGTTTTCATACATCCCTAAACACTTGTGCATTATTGAATTGGGAAATACTCTTCTAGTGAACCAGATGGTGGTCTCAATAATTATATGGTAAGAAAATATGCGAACGGTAAATTTAAGGATTTTTTCACGCATTGGTAAGCGGTTCAGGCGTTCTGGCAACGAATGGTCACACACGAAATTGTTGTCTGAAAATATAAAGCCCGTAGGGTATTTGTTTTTTTCACCTTTTTGTTTTTTAACGAACTGCATATTTCGTATCCCCGTCTGGAGTATATTAAATGACAAGATTACATTCCAAGTGGCTAAAAAAAAAACCATTGGATGCTTAAATTATAGGCATCACTTTTACAAGAAGGTTACAAATGTTATCATTAGTTACACACCAATTGTTATTAATCATGTAGAAGCTCTGTATGTATTTATAGCTTTCTGTCGATGTGCTATACGCACCTCATTGTAATCACAGGTTTCCACCCGCGCCTGTGACTTTCCCCGACCTGTCCATGCACCTCTCTATACGCCATACCCTGACTTATCCGCATCCGATCTTTACCGAACCACATAGACCTAGAGAACTCTCCAACCGCTCTGTACCACGGTTTTAACGTATATCACCGTAATTTACCATCCCTAGTTCAAAACGCTGACACCCATAGACCTCACTTTCCCCAACCATGTCTGTGCGCCCCATACCTAACTCCCCATTCCCCTTTCCCCTTTCCGATCCCCCATCCCCCAATTCCCCATTCCCCCGGGCTTCTGTTCCCCGTATGCCTTCCCCTTTTCCCGCCTCCGCAGTCCCCCCAGCCCTTCCTCTTCCCCCACCGTTCCCCCAATGCCCCGCCCTCGGGTTAGGTATTGTGAGAACCTCCTAATATTATCTTCTTTGTCATTTGCGACTTGAGTTTTTTCAGGTCGCTGTTCGGCGTCCCACCATGGCTTCCAGACGAGCGCTCCTCGCGGCTCTCCGCTCCGCATCCCGCCGATCCTCGCAACCTACTAAGTACGGAACCACCGCCAATCGCTTTTTCTCCTCCGCCGCCTCCACCCCCGCCTCCCGCTCCCCCGCCATCGCTAACGCCCTTCTCCGCGGAAGCACGCTCGCAAACGCCGGCCGCCATGCCCCCGTGCGCTCATTCGCCGCGGAAGCCGCCGCCGTGGCGGAAGCAACCCCCGAGGACTTTACCGGCGCCGGCAGCATTGGACACATCTCGACGGTTATCGGAGCCGTGGTGGACGTTAAATTCGATAAGGGCCTTCCGCCGATCCTGACGGCGCTGGAGGTTCAGGGCCACTCGATCCGCGTGGTGCTGGAGGTGGCGCAGCATCTGGGGGAGAACACCGTCCGCACGATTGCCATGGATTCTACCGATGGGCTCGTGCGCGGCCAGCACGTGCTCAACACGGGATCGCCTATCACGGTGCGATCCGTCGATCTAGATGCGGTTCGCGCGTCAAGGTTTAGATCTAGAGGATGAGGTGGAAGATCGGTGGCTGAGTTTTGATCGCTCGATTAGGTTAGGTTTAGATCGATCTTGGAGAGAGCCGATGGAGATATGGGGAGAGATCTGTCGAAAGAGAGAAGCTGTTTCTAAGGGATCTGCAGGTATTTCTGTGGATCTAGGCGATCTTGATCTGCATAAAGCCTGACGTAATCTGCCCGAGCCTGATTGCCGATCGACGAAGCGCGCCTGGATCCGTTGCTGATTTCCAGTCTATCCGTTTCGGGCCCTTAGTCTTTGCGTGCCTTGTTTCTCGTTCATCTTATTTCGTCGTATCCACTCTCCTGCCCTCCGTTCTGTCATCTGTTCATCTTCATCTGTTACTGTACGCAGATCCCCGTGGGGCGCGCGACTCTCGGGCGCATCATGAACGTTATCGGCGAGCCCATCGACGAGAAGGGTCCTCTCGGTGAGTCGTGGATTCTATTTTCTTGTTTAACTGATCAAGATTCTCTGTCGCGTTTGTCCCTCAATCGGACGATCTCACTTGTTCGATCTTCATGCTGCCTTTTTTTCTTTCGCGTCTCTTTTTCTTGTCCTGATTTCCCGGGTCTTTTTTTTTGTTCGCAGAGTCCCCCCACAGCCTGCCGATTCATCGCGAGGCTCCTCTTTTCACCGACCAGAGCACGGAGCAGGAGATTCTCGAGACTGGTATCAAGGTATATTATAGCGGGGACAGCAATCTCGCGATCTAGTGTCAAGTCTTC